GGGAAGGAAGCAGACGCACCGCGCCTCCTCGCTGCGGATGAGCTCGCGATGGTCGGGTCGTGACCTCTGGCCTGCCAGAGGATCCAGGCTCCTCCAGGACGCGATACCCATCGGGAATTATATGTAGCGGATTGGGACGCCTCGAGAGGATTTCCCTCCCGCTCGGCGAAGGACCCGCTGAGATTTCCGTGGACAGGAACTAAAGAACATTCTATCTTGCAGTTTTTGTACACCTGGATCACGTATATGTCGGTGGTTTCGACGTTGGCGTTTGTCGTATTTTTTGCCATAGGACCAGGAACGATTCCGTGGATTTATATGGCCGAACTCTTCTCACAAGGTCCTCGGCCGGCAGCAATGGCTATCGGAGTCTTGGTCAACTGGGCTGCAAATTTTCTCGTATCGCTCACATTCCCACCGATGCAGGTGCGTAACCGTAAGACGACGTTTACTCTTTCGCTTTCCGTCCGTTTCTTTTCGCTCGCCGCGAGTTATAATGCCCCGCGAGTCGGTGTGGTTTTTATGTCCCGAAGTAGCGAGCGACTTGGTCAGCCAGCCCACCGACCGACTATCTGACTGAGCGACTGGCTGCGAGGTCTTCCCGCGGTTTTCTTTTGGTGCCGTTCGCTCGTCATTCCTACGACGAGCCGGGGTCGGACCGAAAACGAGTACGTGCCGTCACTGGAAAGGATGAGCGTAGCGAACAAGCAAAGCGAATGGCGAAACAGAAGATAGATTGACTGCGACTCGGGGCTGCGTTCTAAGCAGGAAAAAAAGAACCACTCGGATCGACCGCAAAGATGAGCACTCGAAGGCAGAAGTTCCATTGTCTACGATGTTGAATATGCGGTTCGACAGCGTCGTTCGCCCGGAGCTCTCGCCCTCCCTCCGAGTCGAGCTCGAATGGATGTTGGAGGAATATTCTATGGCTTATCTGGTGTGGCTACGCACAGCTCCCTCTAGGTCATTAGCAAAACCAATCTAGATTCGAGATACGTAGGTCGCAAGTGACTCCTAGACTCCTACTACAGCGACTCCTTGTAGATTACGGCCACTAACACACTGGAATAACTCTGACATCGGTCGCGAAACTTGTCTCTGTCCGGTCTGCTAGGAAAGGCTCGCTGAAAGTTCGGAGCCCGGGTCCTGAGGGGCGCTCGCAACGTGGGCGTAAGGGTCTCGCTTGTCCACTGGAAACTACTGGAGAATCCAGCCGACAGGATTTCGAGTAGCTGTACCCAGTGGAAATGAGGGCAGGGGGGCACGGCTGTACGGGGCAGCTCACAGTGGTGGCAGAGAAGGCACAAATCATCATAATTTATGTGCTACGTTCTCTTCTGCCAGCTCTGACCTGAGTCCCTCTCCCCCCCTACTCCCCCTTTTCTCCCAAGACTGCCTGCTGCTCACTTGACAAATGTAGCCTAGCGAGCACAAACGGCCGCGGCAACGCTGCCGACAGGAGAGCTAGCAGGAGTCACCAGTCAGTCAGACGGTCGGCGGCCGGCAGTCTCGGCGTCGACGGCTCGGCCGGTCTTCCCTGCCGACCGTCCGTCCCCGAACTAACTAACTAGACAGTCGCCATCCGAAGTCGGGACGCCTCCTGTCCCCTTTTCTTCCTCGATCATCGCCGTCGCTGAAGTTCGCGTAATGCTCCGTCGTCGCCGGCGCTTTTGGTGCCATCGTCGTCGTCGGCGGTGGTGCCGAGGGAGACTTGTCTTGAGGCGACAAACGTCACCTCTTCGCTAATATCCCCCATTGAAATCTTCTCCCGTTGTCGTGGCGTCTCTTCAGGAGTTCGTTCTGAATCATGACAAGCTGCTTCCCGCTCTATCACATTTATGCTGCATCGGTCCCCCATTGACTCTTCAAACGTCTGATTTCGTTTCTCCTGTTCTCCACTCACTCGTATGATTCCTCAATTGCAGTATGCTTTCGGCGACTACAGCTTCCTACCGTTCACTGCTCTGCTGGGAGTTTTTTGGGTGTTCACGTATAAGCGGGTTCCCGAAACCAAGAATCGAACCTTCGACGAGATTGCAGCACTTTTCCGTCAAGGCTCATCGTCTTGCGATCAAACCCATCTGGCTCAACGATCGCTGTCGCAGCCCGTGACACCGACCTGTCCCCATCAGGGGGCTGGACCACAGCAGAGCCATCTTTGCAATTCTGCTTTCCACAATCACCAACATATTGTGGTCAATAGCAACAACGGAGGTACGGAGAACGACAAGTCCTTTGGGGAAAATGGAGAGAAAAACTATCGAACCTTCGAATCGTGAACGTGATCTTCGATCGTACGACGCATCTCCCCCTCTCGTGACCAAAGATTTTATACTATATTTCTCGCAGTTCATTCTTCTACTCATAGTGTTGATAATACTCGATCCGTTTTATACTCGTTACTCAATAAAAATCAAAGTCCGTATTTCACAAAATCCGATGAAAAGCCGCTTTGCTCCCGGAACGCCGAGCCGGCGTATCCGGATCTGTCGTTCCCTAGGGAAATTCAGTGGAGAAATAGATAAGTTGGCGAGGTCGAACCTCGACGAGGATCGTACACGGACTCGAACGCAGGGAGAGCTGTGCGGGGCGCCATGACTAACTGAAGCGATTTTTCCCATGCTGCCTCTACTTCTTCCGGAATTTTGTTCCGTTCCGTTTTTTTCCCCTGTCTTCGAATTTCCCTCTCATTCCCGACCGTCGTGGTTCAATTGAATATCAGGAATCATGACAATACCGAGACGAAGCAACTCTGTGATCACAGTCCCACATCCCTATCATCCAGAGACGGACAAGGACTCTCGTGAGTATTATTAATCGAATTTCCGACTTACGAATTGTACATGTTATTTAATCAACTTCTCAGCAATCGAACTCAAAGCTTCTCGGACGGGATTCCTTTCTTTGACTGCTCGAATTCGTCTGTGTACTTCCATGAACCACGAACGGTGGGGTGGTTGCCGCGTCCTGTTCCACCGACAACCAACATGCGATCGGAAAGAGCGTTGTCCGGACAGGCGATTTCATATAAGCATTACATAACTGAAGATGAAACGAAAGAAAGATCGACAGTCGGGAGGGGGGAGGAGGAACTTAACGGGAAGGAGTTTAGAATTTTCATTTCCGGCCCCTGGAAAGGAGCCTTAGGCCGGAGCGAGTGCTCGAGTGGTGAACCAGGCACACGGAGGAACGAACGAATGGACGAGCGAGCGAGAGCATGGGCAGTCAGATTCCCCAATTCTCTGATGGTGTTGGTTCGCGAACAAGTTGGAATTAACACAGGGCTCATTATTCGCAGTCGGTTCGCCGGCTCGGGCAGGAAGAGAACCCCATCGAGGTTTGCGGAAGAGACGCCGCGGGGAGCGAGCAGGGGAGCGGAGCGAGCGCAATACATTTGCCCGCAATGGTGCAATTAAACGCTGTATATAATTGAGATAAGATAAGCTTCTCCACAGCTCTCTGTCAGCTCGCTCCGCCAGACTGCTCGTGCGTTCGCCCGCCCCCCTGCCCCCTCGCTCGTCCGACCGTTGCCTAACTCTATCGCTAACTGGCTATTCTTGCCTCGAACGGCACGCTGGCAAACATTCGAATCACGGAGCGAATATTCCGGGAAGTCCAGGACTCTGTCGGAGACACGAGACCGTTCCAATCCGCGCTCGGGGCCGAATGCTCCGCAGTAGCTGTACACAGATCGGGATGATCTCATGAGAGTTTTCGTTTTCTGTTGTAGAATACGTTCGCCCCCCGATGACGCCACATCCACACCAGGTGCATAGCCATTCTCACCATTCACTGCATCAATCGCCACCTTTGCCTCCATTGACGCCAACGATTCAACAACTACCGCCACCGCAGCAGTACTTCTATCCCACACTCACCAGCCACTTGCCATGCCATAACCGAATCCACAAGGAGCTCAACTGCACAGCGATGTCGGCAGGCTCGATGGGTGCTGCATTCATGTCTCGTCATCCGTCACAGGATCATCTATAGCAGCAAGAGTGCGTGGACCTGCATCCGCTAGAAGAACAGCTGAAGAGGATCCACGAGCTACAAAATATTCTCAAGGTATGAGACGGCAAGGAATTCGCCAATACATTCTATATTTCCCCACAAAGCAGGGCTCGTTGAGTGTTCGTCCTCGAGTTTTTCTGTCGAGATGCACCCGTAGGAGGAATCCCTCATTGCTGTTTCTTGCGTTCGTCAGCGTCTGATCGCTTGAATCTAGCCACCCCGTCACGCCGTACCTTCGAGGGCCATGAGCGACCTTCGGGATTTCTCTTTTTTGATGCACTCGCCTTCAATGCCGAGACCTCAATGCGGGTTGACCTTTTCCGTTTTCCTCTACTAGAATGGCAGCCATCGGAATATCGAACAGGCCACCGAGCAAGAGGCGCTGCCAGTCAATAAAACATCAATCCCGGCTCTGGTCGGTAGCGGCACCTGTTGGTCCTTGCTTCTTCTTGCCACGGTCGCCTGGAATTGGTCCGCGCTCGGAGCCATCGCGTTCTTGCGACATCCCACAGATTGAAAAGCTTCGAGGACTATGCACGGCCGAGTCCGAGACGAAAATGAATTCCGGAGGATTTCCGAAGCGTAACATTGCTCGTATATTCTTTCCAGGATCATTTTGAAACTTGAGCTGCTCCACAAAGATTCCGAACAAACGGCATCTTCTAGATGCTGCACCTCATCTGTACACTATTAGGTACGCTAGGCAGGGGATTTCGCATACCTACATTCAATCGATTGGTCAGCTGTTCGTGCGTTCGTGGATTCGATCGAAGGCGCGCACGATGAGATTGCTCCGAGTCAGTCGGCATAATTTGACTAGACGTTCTTCCGCTTGACGTGGTTGTCATGATGAACTCTGACATAGTATATTGATCTCTCTGAAATAATTTCACGTGGAGCATTGAGGCGGTGATGCGAAAGAGTGGTCCGCGCCCGTCGTCGAATGTCGTTTCTTCTGGCGGATGGAATGTCTGGCCTGGCGTTCGACAGCGGGAGAAGCCGGGGCCGTGCAGCCAAGAGCCGCGGTTTACCTGAAAATTTAGGAGGTGCGTTTGAACAAGCGGCTGATCAAGCGAACAACAACACAATGTAAATAAACTGCTGCTGATCTTAGTTCGGCTTTGCTCAGTGGTGGACAGTTAACGAAAACAATTACGTATACTCGCTCCAGGACAATGATGATGATGATGACGACAACGAGGGTGACCTCGATTGACGGACTTTGAGAGAAAATTTCTCGGGGATCATAGGAATCCCTGCTAAGTGCCTTGATATTCCCCAAATCGAGTCATCGCGAAGCTTCACCGCATTATCAATCCGCTTTCTCCCTCCGTGAGAGTGTCCCTGCGCGCGTGTTGCGTGGTTTTCGAGCGCTAGATGTCGCCGTGTATGTGAATCGCGGCGAATCGCAATCTTCACGTGCAGTAGATGAGGCCGTGATTACGAGATCGGTTGGGTCGATTATGTGGGCTCTCATTCAGAAGCGGCCACAGGGAATCTCATCTGGGAACTCATCAAAAGCCGGGAGGAAAAGGGCGCTCGACATCTCGCTGGAATGGATTTCCTAATAAACTGATCCTGTCGGTTCGCTTCGGTAGCCTCCTCGCCAGGTCCAGGCTTCCATTTTGGTCTACAGACCTTCGGAATTTCGTTCCAGCGAAATTGCAATTATTCGTCAGCTTCCTCCGATTGGCCCACGGCCCATCGAGCTCAACCGGGGTCTAATGGGCGGCAATCTCTTCGTCGCAGAGAGCCGTCTCTGTCCCAGTTCTCCTCCGCACGTTCCTCTTCCCGATAAGAGCTTGAGCTCGCTTCTCCAATAGTACTTGCCCTATTGGCAAAGGGGACTCAGATCGCGCGGTTAGGTGCTGCTTGGGTGCGCGAATCTCAGCGAGAACGAAGGCCTGCCAGAGAGCGGAGGAGCTAGCTAAACCTTTCGGTAATATGATCGCGGGGAATTAATATCCGACCGGAATACCTATATCAGACGAGACATGACGCTGCTCCATGACAGATATCTTTGTGGATAAAATAGGCGAGGAGGGATAATTCGCGAACGCGTGGGGGATGCGTTTATGAATGCTCGCTACGGAGCCGAAGCCGGAGTTGAGGTGAAAAATCGCTGTATTGAGCGGGAGCCCCCTCGACGGAGAGCTAGTACATACTTATATTATTCGCGCTAAAGCCTTAAGACGCTGTGTTTTGGGAGCAATCGTCGCGCGGGATATCATTGCAATCGGAAGATGCATGATGAGAATGTCCTTCGTGACCCACTCTGCCTGACGTTCATCCGAGCCGGATTGAGAACCATGGGCTCCATCTAGTATTCCGGGGAGATTCGTTCGCATCAGCTCAGGATCTCAATACCCTTCTATTTGATTATATTTACGTATCCAAGGAAATTAGGTCCTATCTTGGTTTATCAACATCGAACTGGCTGGCAGGATGGATGGATGCATTATGAAGCTTCCAAACCTCCCCTGCTCCATCCTACCCGTGCTGGTCAAGGAACAATCATATCCTAGGGCCGGAGCAGAGGATGAGAACGCGACGCTCGCTATGGGGGAAGCTTGGTGCTCCTCATGCTCTAGATGCGTCGTTCCTTAGCAAACGCAAGTCCGACCGACTACTCTGTGCCGGAACGGCCTTGTAGGAGCTCGAGGCAGATGTTCCACATTCTGCCCCTTCCCAAGAAGCGCGAGCTACGCCGTGCGTAGAGATGCTGCTTCACCTCCGTCTTCGTCGGAAACCGGAAGCTTCGAGCATGTGAGTTTCCATGCGGAATCGTTCGCTTGTAGCTTGTTCTCAGACCGTTTTTTTTTTCGATGCGCTCGACAACTCGTCCGTCTGTCGCGACTCTTTTGAGCAGACCGTTCATAGTCGCCGGTGGAGCTGCGAGCAAGAGTGAGCGCTTCCGCTTTCCGATTCGCGAGAGCGTCTGTCGCCATATATTACGAAAAACAGGTAAAACAGGAAGAAGCGGAAGCTAATGCCTCCTCAAGACTGGGGAGAGGAGGACGGCCGAAGTTTCACAATGAACGTGGGGGAAGGTCCCGAGAGCTATGCTGCAAGGCAAGGGGGATTAAACACGAGGAAGACGATACCAAAAAAGCGAAGCCTTGGACAGAATGTATGCCAAACAAGGGAATATTCCTCGATGGTTCTATCGATGGGCGAGGAATATTAGAACAGAGAGAGAACGAAGATGTTCAGCAAACAAAGAACGAAGGCGGAAGGGCAGGGAGCCTGGGACACGGTCAACAGCAAATAGGAAGGCATGGGAGATTGCCAACTGATGTCGACCATCGAATCGTCATCGCTTGTCGTCGACGACGATGACAACGGAACGAAAGACAATAACCAGAGCCACGCGGGCTGTAGATACGGCGGCAGCGGGCGAAGGCGGGTCCTCACTACGAATACGGTATGCTGCGGCTCGACCATCGAGTAAGTCGTTGAAGGCAGCAAAATGAGTTCTGCGACATGAGCAGGGATCACAGTGGGTCTGACAATGTTCGGGACCTCCGATGATTCATCGATTTCTCCCGCGGAATCGTGTGGGACTCAAGCACGAAAAGGCATCTCGAGACACCGAGCCCCGAAAAATAACTTATCCGACCGCGCTCGTCCGAGGCTTCCCCGCAGATTCGGAGCACCCGTCCTCGCCCAAAGCCTGACTGACGAAGTGGTGGATCTACAGTTAGTACAAATGCGTCCTTAGAAAGTCGGAGTTTAATAATGCGATTGATGAAAATGATGATTGTCGGAAATCTGAAACGATATATATCTTTATGTCTAGAATGAGAACGATGCACTTCATTTTGGAGATAATATGATTGACTGTCTGCGGTGTCGTTCAGAATGCGCTGTGTCTGTAAATACGAATCGGCATGACATCGGAAATACCGTCGCGGAGATCGATAAAGTGGGCTGGGCGAATTATGTTCCTCCTATTACATACATGCGGGAATTTCGAGACGAATCATCAACGAGGACTTCTTGAGCTGAGAAGTCCTCGATGATGACGTTTGAAACACATGTTATAATTGTCCTGTTCCAACGATGTAATTGTTAAATATTATTCATCAATGATTATCGCCACCTGAACCATTGCTACCGGTTATACGATGAGTTATAATCTTTCTGACAATTTATCAATTGGATGTTGACGCTTTCGCTATTACGCGGATTTCGCAATGCTTTTTGAAGGACAACGGAGGACATGGCGAATCGCGGTCCGAATCATTTCAATTCATTGTTATGATCTTCCTTCCGATCTGAACTGATAAGGATAAGAATAAATTGATACATGAATCGATTCGGAGGGTAGAAACAAGTGATTTTCCTAGATGTTCTCTGGCCATGAGCGCGTGTGGAGAATAAACTATGTATGGATACCAAACGTTAGGTGCGAAACGTCTGAACTCTCGGAGATCATATGAAAGGTGGCTCCTATCGATCGGGGGTCGAGGATTCACCGATTACTCGTGGAACTCTTATCCAATTGATACGGTAAATAAAAATATGGTTCATACATACACCCGTCGTTTTCTACTGATGCCCGGATCTTCCCTCTGCGATGTCTGAGCAGAGGCATCCGCAGCGGATTGACAGTATTGTCCGCGGATTTACAGCATCATCCTCGAATTCCGCCGGCTGCAGCTCGGTTTGGAAACCACTGATATTGGATCAGTTGAGCACCAGCCCGAGCCCGAGTGACGGCTCAGCAGCCTCACGTGGTTCGGAAGCTCGCGACTCCGGACTCGTGAGTATCAGCCGTCCGTTCGTGGATTTGGGCATCGAAAAGCTTCTCTTCCATCGCCAACAGAGAAATTCCTGGAATAGCTCTGAAGAAAATCGAAAGATCTGAGTGAGTAAGACTTGTGAGTGCATCGAGAGCGGGCCGCATTGCCTCTCAACGGAGGATCCGATATTCCGGAGCCTTACAGTCTCAAGCTCTGGCATGAGAGCGGTCTAATCAAGCGGACGATCCCGTGCACCCATCAAGCGGTTGGGTGGATATCGAACTCTCGGTCGGAGTCCGATCAGTCAGATCTGAGGCTGTAAGCTCAGATTCGGTAGGCAGGTACACCTCAAGGCCTTACGCGAGGCTTCCCTTTCACGTCTAGCGGAGTTCATGGCTCAGTGAACGGCTTCTTTCCAGATAACTATCGCGGCGTGGTTAATTTATGACGCAGGGGCTATAAATATTTTTCTCGAGAATTCATATTGCTCGGGAATTGTGTTTGAGCCATTCTCAAACTCCGGCCGACTCCCGAGCCCACGGTTCCCGGGATATCAATTATCTCATTCAGTTTAGCGGGCTGCGTCGATCGTGTAGGACACCGATATCATTCGAGAGATGAAAAGCGCGCTTCAGGGGACATGAGGTGTCTTCAGCACATTTCCGGAGAAAAAGCCTCGTCCCGAGCACGCGAAATCGCGTCGTTAAAAGTTGCACCTCATTTGCTCTATCAGGATCCGTGACGCGTTCGTAAGGAATGTCACCCTCTATAATCCGATTAGGTAAATTGGGCCTGAGCTCGTTCCGGAGGGCTTGCTAATTCAAGAAGGCTAATTCTGAATGTCAAGGCGAGTGCCCCGATCGCTGAGGAAAGAGAGACCTGAACGCCACGTCTTGCTTATCCTTCATGTAGCTTCGTCATATTCCTCTTGGACTCGTGGGTATGTTTGCAATCTGTAGAGCAAGAATGTCGGTAAACAGGAGTGGCTTCTCCAATCTTCGTAACGGTTCTCTTTCGAGACTCTACAGGTCGCAAAGGAAGGAGATGTTCCTGTAGGCGATGCCGATTGCTTTCCGTGAGACCAGCGACAATCTAATCACACGTGGATTTCGGGATGGCGGTGAACCCCTCGTGGAGCGGGCTCAAAGCGAGCGATTTCCATCGTTACATTTCCTGTAGAGAAGACCCAAAATCTCCCCGTTGCACGTCAGCGTACTGCTTTGCATCCTGCTCAACACCCCTCTCAGCTTGACTCCCTTCGCCCCCGGACTTGAAAGGAGAAAGGGATATCGTGTACGTCCCGACAGGAAACTCGCGTTCTGTGTCGGATGAAACCTCATTAGCGGAGACGTGTACTAGGCCGCTCTCCGTAGACCCGAGCGAGCGCCGCAGCAAAGATCACAGGCATGTTCTTTGAAAACAAAGATGGCGCCATGCATGGAGTTCTTCTTTCTCATCCGGCCACCCTAAGAAGTTCGGTTCCTGCACTATTCTCTTTGAGTTTGCTGTCGACAGCTTTCCGGTTCCTTACATATGTTTATGTTTCTCCTGTCCTCATCGGATTATGGCTCTTTCGGGTCGGTTTGAACCATAGAATTCATTTCCCGCTGTATGACTTGATTTGGGGGTTCTCTAATGAGTTACCAATAAAGGAAGTACTCGAAGAGGTGAGTCAGTGAGCTTGACATCGTACTCGGTGGAATCCTGACGCCGGAAAAGTGCAGAGACCATCAAGTGCTTCAGTCTTCCAACAATACCAGAGCTAGCGAAAGGCCGGGAATCCTATCCAAAGGGCATCCCGAAACTCTTTCAGAAGTTTTTTGTCCAACTTCCAGAGACCTCCAAGTTCTTAAGTTCCGCGAAGACACGATTCGTGATGGCACCCCAGAGAGTCAAGGCCCTCTACGACTACGACGGGCAGCATACGGATGAGGTCAGTGGTCATAGAAGCAAAGACCCACCGCTCTTCACAATTCTCATGGAATAACTCTCTGCACACATTCGAGGCGCAAGGGAATATCTCTGATTCGAAAGAACGACAGCGAGCTCGATTGGTGACTCTGGTCCATAGTACGACATCGTGTTGGGACCCCTGCTGATCCGTGCTCGATCCCTCCTTTTGCAGCTCACTTTCCGAAGAGGGGACATCATAACACTAACACAGCCCGCTCTAGAGGGTTGGTTCGAGGGGACATTGCGAGGTGTGACGGGTTGGTTCCCCGCGAACTACGTCATGGAGGTTCACGGGGAAGCTGACTCCACGCACCAGCCCATCACGATTAGCAACGACAATCGACAGAAAGTTCTCTCCAATATCATCGAAACCGAAGCGTCGTTCGTCGAAGATTTGGATAGCTTTATGAACTGTAAGTTTTCGGAATTGTCGGAAGTTTCCGCAATCGCTCCTGGAGCCGCGAATCTTGAGCGATTTCCAGGAGATTCGCCACCGAAGTCCGGTCCCCTTGTCACGCATCAGAATGTCGACCGACTGCGAGAAGCCTCTGGAACGGCTTAGGAAGTCGTAAGTCGTCATTACAATCCGTGGTTATCTCCTATTGCAGCAACCCTACAGCCTGTGTGGCGGCTTTTCGGCGAGGACTATGATCTCATTCACCGGAATCTCGAGCAGATACTGCAGGTTCATCGAACGCTGCTATCTGGTTTGAGGGGCGAGACGAATGGAGAGCCTAGCAAGGTCGGAAAAGTTTTCCAGGCGGTGTTCTCGAGGTTGAAGGGCGCTCATAGCAATTATTGCGCTCTGCACCCAAGGATTATCAAGATTCTGATGAAACACGCTTGTGTAACGAACAATAATCAGCCGGTCAACATGCTCAACGTAACGCTGGGTCTCTCGGCTCCATTCAAGCGACTCGAAAAATTCGAAACACTCCTCGAAGAATTAACGCGCCACACTCCAGAGAATCATCCAGACCGCGGTGAATGTCAAAGGAGCTGTAATTTGTTCCGTGAACTTGCACAAGAAATGAATGCTGTTAGGAAGCAGAAAGATATCGAGACCGAGATTCTCAACGCGAATATAAAGAATTGGGAAGGTCCTCCGATCAACACGCTGGGCGACGTCCGTGTCACTTGCCCGGTGAAAGGACAATGGAATTCCGGCTCGAAGGACTTCTACTTAGTCGCATTCGATTCTGTCATCGTGCTCGTATCCTTGTTGGACTCGAACGAGTTCCGGATGGACTACAGGTTCCCTCTGGACCGGACCACCATCAGCAGCGTGGAGAAGTCTCAAACTCTCGAAATGCAATTCCTTTCCGTGAAGCTGCTGGTGAGCTTCCATTCGTCGGACGATTTCGAGAAAATACGTAACAGGGTAGACGTCTATTCGACGGTGCAGAAACGAAGCTCAACGAAGTCGAACGACAGTTCAGTCATCCTACGATCGAACGGTTCTCGTCCCGTCACCCCGGATTCGAGGTTCGATTCTTCGAAGCACTCCTGGAATAGTTCCCGAATTTCCCGTCCGACCTCACCCGCGCCCCCGCCGCCGACTGCACCGAAAACTTGCTTGCAACCATTCGGGAGCGCGACGCTTCCCCCTGCCAGGATGAGTCTTACGATATCGCGCATTCGAGGTGTCCTACCACATCGAAGAGTGTAAGTACTGGATGAAGCCGAGGGCGGTTCACTTGTTGCTTAAAAAATCGGGGTGGGGAGACTGTTGACAGATAGAACTTGGAGAGACAAACGCTCGCAGTCTGATCATCCACGAGGGCCAATTCGATAGAATGGCGCACTCAGCTCCGATGTTTCTCTCCAACTCTCATCGCGAAGATACGTGTGTTCGCCGGATCGAACTATGAACCATAAACGCTGAGATTGCGACGTCACGTCGCAGAGTGGTAGCTGTACTGCCGAGCATCGAAGTCTGAACGCGCTCACTGAATATGTTTGGCTGTGTTTTGATTGGTCGAACTCGAACGAATGGCTCAAGCCTGCCGATTCACACTTGTAGGAAAATCTCCCTTCAAAAAGAAGCTGCTCCGGGTTTGAAGCGGGGTTCGTCTGCACGGAAGAACAAGAAAGATCTTCCAACGCCGATTTTGTGTGAGTATTCCCTGTATAAGTTTCAAGCTCAATCCTCCAGCCAGTCGTAGGTTGTGCTCGACCCTAATAAGATATGCGCTCCAATCGAATAGTGCTTTTCAGCTGCCGAAATCTTTCTCAGCGATTGTGAGTTGAATTCTTGTTGTCGTGAGCTCCATTCTGTTGCATATCCGGTGGCTTGCACAACTTTGGCCTCCAGAGTGTTTTTCTCTCCATATTTGAAAATGCGCACGCCATATGGATGAATCTCGCGGGAAATAAATATACTCCCGTTCTTTCTATTTGGAGTGCCTGCACAGCTTGAGTGCGCTGTTTCCTGTCCGAGCTCCGGGTCATAGTCGGTATATGCTCATAGTATTTTCTATTGTTCCCAAATCTAAACGATGAATTCATATCGATTATTCAGTTGAAGAATCCCTGACGAATCCCTCACACTACGAGAGAGATCTCCAAATACTCAAGGTGGTGGAGTCGTTTGCGAATCTCTCGAAGAAGCCTACGATTCCACTCGGAGGAGTTTCATCAAACTCGGCCATAGGTCTCACTTCGTTACCATCTGTGCGGGTTTCAACGTTGACTTCGCACAGCGGTGCACCTGGGATGGAAATCGATGTGCTCGGGAACTTGATCGGGCGGCCTAAAAGCATTTCCCCCATTTCCCCGAATCCGATCTCTGATCAAGGGGCGCTCCGGGTTCTCCAGAGCGACGTGTCTATCCTCAAAGAAGTGAGTGATTCGAATCCCAGAACTTCTGACATCTTTCATTCACCTATGATACGTAATATACATACACTGTGTGAGTACTGTTCTCGCCCTGTGCATCTCAGCATCATGCGTAAGCACCGAAAATCAACACCTCACGTGACTTTACAGCAAATGGCCAAACTTCAAGCGGACCTGCAGGAAGAGCGGAAACATCGGAAGGCTCTTCAGGAGCAATTGAATTCGCTTTCTCCCGGCAATAGATAATTTGACCGAGGCGCCTGCTCTCGAGAACAAGAGCCCTTGCTCACTGGTTGTAGTGAATACTTAAACAGGATGAGGAAGCTAATCTCACTCCGGATCTGATACCGAGATCGTCGGCGGCATCCAATGCCTGAGAAGCCGATCGTTCGTTCGGGAGATGGTAGCATTGAAGTATCCACAGGATTAACGGATCTGATAGCTCCTGTACTCTGAGCCCCACGAGTCCTCTGTTTTGGGAGGGTAGTCGCAACGTGATGTGGACGGAATTATATCTCTTCGTCTCTCGAACATAAATTACTGGGTGGTAGGCGACACCAGAGATCCAAGAATAATTAGGAGCTGTGGAAATCGGAGTCGCCCGTCATGGATTCAGCCTCTCCGAATGACTTGGCGAGGCTACACCGAACATCCTACTGGATTCTCCTCGTTGGGGTTGGGCAAACGTCGAACATCCCGTTACTGACAAGTTAATGCTCCCAGCTCGGAATCCTCCTCGCGGTCGACTCTCAGTAGCTTATCGCGCAATAAAATGATGGTTCATGTTATGTAATTTATCGGGTATTTTCCTTGCTTCTAAGGCAATTCTGACGGGGACAAGGTAGTGGAAACTAAGAATTCCCTCTCTCTCCCTGACATCGAGGCTGAACACGATGAGCTGTACGGTAATTCGTCAATGGAGGTTTATCATGAGAAGGATCTTCCTCGGATGGAGCCTTGACCTTAGGTTCCCCGCCTCACCGATTGCAGTGGCCCTGCTCCAGTAGCCGATCACGTCATTCTTTTCGGTACCTGCTATCTTCCTTTTGTTGTCAGGAATGAGAAACGCGGAGGGAGAGAGGGAGGCGGCTTCTGAGTGAGTTCTGAGAAAGGATGAGAGCGAGAAGAATGGGAGGGAGAGGGGCACCCGGTTCGAACAATAGTCGTATTCGTTGCCGACGAGAATTTTTCTCAATGGAGAGCTTGGCGTTTTTGCCACTCACAGCGCTGTGATCGATTCGACAAAAATGTGCTGCGTAAGGATCACGAGCCTCAGAACTTGTTTTGAACGACGAAAAGAGGCCCACGGTTCCGATAGACCCAAAGGGACGATCTCGGGGATGTGAGAGGAGTCCGTGGAACCGATAAGACTACATGTCTCAAGAAATGTTCTCATTCACGGAGAAGTCGAGTGACACCTGAGCCCCGAATGGAGACCGATCTCGTCTCCACCGTGATAATCTTGAACCGATGATCCCGGAATGTTGACACGCACCTATGCGCTGATTTATAGATTGGACCGATAACCCCTCCTCAGGTGTCGTCTCGATCGTAGAGACTTCGCAACAGTTTCGCGCTTCTCCCGAACTTACCACAGCTCATATAATGATGCCACGGAATACTCGGCAGTAGAGCGTGTCGAGCAGATGCGAACCCCGCACTTCCATTCTGAAGCCCTAGCCTGCCGTTTGCGGTACGAGGCGAGGGGCAGGCCGGACCTCCGTCTAGGTGGAGGTCTGATGCCGTAGTTATTCTAGCCTGAGCTACCCTTCCGTTTACAGTCGACAACCGACCTAGAAGAGGGGGGGGGCGATAGCTTGCGGAATCCAGATAGAAGAGGACCGCTCACGAGCATCTGATGCAGACTGCAATCTTTTGAGACGCGTCGAAGCGAGAGCGGTCGCGAACGGCTCGCGAATCCATGATGAGTACGGATACTCCATGGAGGTCCGAGAGTCCGCGAATATTGTCTACGGGGTTCAATGTGTTGTTCAATGTTCGCGTTCATCACTTTGGGGTCTCGACGACGACTGACCGCAAAGCGTGATGGCTTCTGGTCCGTCCGCCTGTTGGGCCAGCGCGGTCATTTCGCACAATCCGCCCTCACGAAACCCGCGATCCCTGCTCCCGAGGATAAATGCCTACGGTCTTCAAAGCAATTCGCAAGACGGAATCCCGGAATCGTAGGACCGTGGTCTTCCAAGAACCTTCCAGGGAACGAGAATCCCGTGTCGGGGGTCCCTGCAGCGGAGCTCCACGCCACTGGGCAAAAGCCCTTCCAGCCCTGCCGAAGTCCGCGCTGCTTAGTAACATGCGATTTGCTGCCTCGGCATTCTCGGTTAGAAGATGTCGGAAGATCGATATCTCTGAAGAATATCGAACGACAATTTCATCCGTGACAAATTGCAAGAATGATGATAATCCTGCGAAGAAAATCGCTACCGGGGACTTCTATATCTTCGCAGTGTGAGATTGAGCCCTCGTTATGGGGAGAAGTTCGGCCTCGTTCATATATATGAGCAAATGAAAGGTGAAGTCGAAGACTTCTGAGGTACACTGAGTCGTCCGCCTGTCTCTACTAGTGTAGCCGATAAACGTGGCGACCGCCCAGATGATTGGCTGTAGCGACCCGCAATGTATTGTGGATGTGCGGGAGCGAATCACGTTTGATCGTAGCATCCTGGGGAAAAGTGGTAGCCCGGGGCATGGCGGAGCGATGTCCATGAATCAGAAAACCGTGTGGGCAGAAATCAGGGGCTCTGAGAGCTAGGACCCACGATACCGTGAAGAGCCGGCTGCGCTTCGAGAGCGGCGGTTCCCATAGTCGCCTTGGACGTCCTCTAAATATATCGAACGAGTTCTCCTATCCTTATACAATCAGCCGAAGTATCCCAATCATGAGGGATCCGTCTCATATAATGAGAGTTCCGATAAGGGACGATGGTTCTTGCTCAGTCAGTCCATGCAGCCTGGGCTTATGAACTTGAACCCCGGGGAAGATTGAACTCCAGGGAGCTGTTGCCGAGATTTCAGAGAAATCCCTATCGTCTCCATGACGGGCGCTCTCGCAGAATCCTTAGCGTAGGCGCTGTTTCTTAATGCGTCGTTCCTGCTGGTGCTGTCGCTGCGGCGCCGTTTTCGCAGCGCCCGTCTCGCTGCGCCGATTTCGCGCCGCGCCAGTAGGGCAGCGCCGAATATTACTACTTGATGGCGCTGCGGGCGCCACGCTCGTCTAGCAGGCGAACAAGCCATCCGCCATTTTCCTCCGCGGTCAAATGACGAAGAACTCTGGAGGAGACTTGGCAATGCTTTTTTTCGTGATTTCGTTCAGAAGAGGCAACGCATCACGGCGCGGAAGCATGGAGTATCTTTCAACGGTCGAACAGCGCCAGATTCACGAAATCCTCGGTGATTTCTTCCGATACCGTCTGAGTTTGCGCGGTACCGAGTGGACATCGCCTGTCGAACCCGAAGTTTCACCAGATAACGCTGAAATCTGCGCAACGCTACGGGCTCTGTCGGATCACTTCCACGCGGGCTGTCAAGAAGCCCTCGCAGAGTTGGCGGAACGATGTCTACTCGTCGACAACCTCACGCTGAGAACAGTAGAAGACGGATTCCATACTTCAATGAATGAACTTATGAGTGAGCGTGGCGTCAGCTGGGAACGGATCGTTGTAGCCTTCACGTATGCCGTCGAGACTGCCGCGAGGTTGCCCACCCAAGATCCCATCAACACCGTCTACAATTGGACGACAGCTTTCACCGCACGAACTTTAATGCCATGGATCCGCGAAAACCACGGATGGGTGAGTTGTGCTCATTCAAGTTCGTGGGTATACTGCATGGAGTTCGAATGGCTGCTCGATGTGCGCACCTTCGCCACCTCCTGTGGCAGAACCTGAGGCTCTGACCCGGGTCGGTCTCAAACGATCTCGACGACAGAGAAATCGTTGGGACTGCTCGTGCGTTGCGCTCATCTTCCCCCACATGTCCCGTGCGGGCGATCGGCTTCCCTGTTGCGTCTCCGGGCCGAGTTCACATCGGTATCCGATTCCTTGAGGAGCCTAAACTCTCGATTCTGTCCCAGAGATCGAATACGGTGGTGCTCATCACATTTCGTTGCTCGATATGTGATTCTTTCAAAAAAATATCGAGGGAACTCGGGAGCAATGATTTCGATTTCGCGATCTCTCGTGAATCGTTCGATCGATACCACGCCGCGCTGTCCCGTTGGTCGTTGCAAACGCTCGTAGGTTCCGGTGCCGGTAGCCGAGACCTAGCTTCTGAATCGCCTCCCTCTTCTATTCAGAATTCCCTCGCGCTGTCTTGAGCTTATCTTTTCGTCTGTCGAGTGAAATTGTTCGTGTCCGTAGATCAACGATTCGTTGAAAAGCGAAACGAATGTTTACTCCTCGTGGGAACGGAATGGCGTCTGTCGTCACACCACGATGAGTTCGAACGAATGTTTATTAAGCCGTCACCGGCTCGAGAGAACGAAAAGCATCGTCTCGTTCTAGTTTGGGGATTCCTTTCGTTGATCGTCTCACGAGTTTCCTACCGATACGAGGATCAGTTTCGAGGACCGCGGATATCACCTCCAGATTCTGACGTCTGTCTGTCTGCCTGATTCGGAAGTGTTCCTCCGCTTAGAGGGCAGTCGGGAGAAGGAATTCCGCGAGGAGCAGAAGTCGTGAAATTCTTTACAACAAGTGGCTTTCTCCGGCCAACTGACTGGCCGAATGACTGACTGGCTGGCAGGCAGGCAGGCAGACGTCATTCCTTTGTTTTCTCTTCTGGTTCGTCTCTTCTGCTTTTCTGCGACGGCTTCTACCGGCGCGGACAGCGTCGAAGCGAAAAAGAAAGAGAAGACGATCCGCAGGCCCAGCGAGCAACCAGATGGCATTCCAACGCCGAAAGGCACAAGGGCCGCATTCCACGCCGGTCAACGGGCTCTGAAGTCTAAGCTCTTCGAAAGAACGTTGAAGGAAGCTTTCCATGGGAGATTCTTCAGTCGGGAGAGGCTTCTCGATGCGACGTCTTTGAGCACACTTCAGCGGCTCATCGGACTGTTCCGCTTTCCCGGGATCTCCTCGGAGCGATATCCTTGGAACGTCCGTTCAGAAGGCTTCTTTGTAGGCACCAATTATTATTCATGAGTCTGTGCCAGGCTCTGTAGAAAAAAGGTATCGAGAGGCGTTCAGCTGTAGAGAGGCCAATGGTCATATCCGGTAGCGATGACATCGGCGACGGAGAGAGCGATCTAACCTTAGAGCCGAAAAGTTGCTCGAAGGCAGAGAAGTTCATCCGAGGGCGGCAATCAGGCGTCGAATCAGACGGGCACCGCCACAAGCAAAAATGCGGCGGGTAGGAAAGCGGGTGCCTGGCGGCGAAAAGGCAACAAATCGACGTCAGCGGGGTGACTTCGACGTAGAGGAGGGGTTCAGGAAGAGAGGAAGAGACAAAGAAAGAAAGCTCACTGGACCAACAGTAGCCATACGGATGCTCGGGGGCCCCGAGCATGGCCAATTCCTTGTTTCAGAAACACGTCGCATATTCGCTAGGACATGGCTTCGTGAACGATGGAGGACTTTCGAATCAATCGAACTTCACGGACTTTGAATTCGAAGCCGAAAGTTATCGAATCCAGCGATCGGTTGCCTGTATCGGAAAAACTCGGAGATTTTGAGATTTTTTTTTATGAAGAACGATTCGTCAGACGCAGCGGTCTATCGAAGTTACCTCGACGGCTACGCGAACAAACTTCTGCTGAGTCAGCGGTCCTGCGGTATCTGGATCGGGACAGTTCTTTCTCTTGTCCTCTACAATTTGCCGAGCAGATTACATGACGAGCGGGAAAAATGAGATTAGCCCCGAGAGTTTGTGAGATGGATGGTCAGATGAAATAGGGAAAGCCCCAATCATGATTGAGACGGCGGCGTTCAACATTCCTTTATAATCGACAATCGACGGCGCGATGCGATGTCGCCGTCTTCTCCTTCGTAAGTTCAGACCCCTTCAAATTGAGTCGGTGGTCGCCAGCACCATCGATATTGACGCATTCCGTTAATTCTGCTCCTCGGCGTGCTTAGGTTTGCCGAAACGTCAGCCAAACGCGGGAATGGTTCGCAGACGGATCGGGAGGGAATCACTGTTTATTTACTCAATCGAAGACATGAGCAGCTCTGGGTCGTTATCGAAATTGTCGATTAGGGAGAACAGATGACGGCTCGCCTCCTCAATCATAATCATTACGTCGAAATTGTGGTTTGACGAAAAGATCCGTAGGAAAGAGGATTCGATTTACCGCTAACCGAGTTTCTGTACATGCACGCAGAATATGCGTCTTATTGGGGAGAAATCTCAAATTCTCGCGTCATGATCGCGGATTTCCAGCACATCGTACCGAAATACTCTACGGACGAGAAAAAATCGAAATTCGTGGAGAGTACCTGAGGAGCGGCAAACAGTGCGGGCTCTTGAGCTCGTTCGGGGACAGACACCTGATAAGGGATCAGGGTGATTTTTTTTCACACCTCGCGGTCCGACGATCGATCGAGGACTCGAAGCTATTGCTACCCGGATCTTTAAAGCGTTGAGAAATTATAAAACGGATGTGATCATCTCATAATACGCGCTTTCGAAATCTATCGATATCTTCGTCGTGTCCGACGTGAGTCATGACCAGAACCTTCCCCTGCTGATCCCATACGGAGGCAAGCATGGGCGAGCGTATGCAACGGAGACTCGCTTTTACTCGACCCTCCTCAAGACGATCCTTGCCGACGGTCTGACGATTCCCCCGACCAGGCATCCAGTCAGCCAGGTGCTTCTTGAATATTCCATTCACCGGTTGAGGCGGGTTAGCGTTCGGTCTCCGTGTTAGCTGGTCGGTTGCTTTGTTCGTTTCTTTGTTTGCTCGCTTGATCTGGGGGAATCGAGCAAAGATCGACAGAATCTGTCTGGCTGATGACGCCCGCGGGCGGACGGCGAGGTTGATGACAACTCCGTCGGCGGAAGACCTTTTGAATCTCTTTCTCACGGGAATCAAAGTTTTCGATGTGTGGTCAAGGGAGGTCGTAGCCAGCAGGGGCGTCGTCGTGGGAACGCAGTGTCGATACGGACTCCTCCGACTGTCATCGCCAATTCAATGACCCTTCCATATTCTCGAAGCTTTTCCCTCTGAGCATATCTTTCGATCACGATAATAATAATCCAGAATCAATTGTTTGCTGTGCCGCTCAATTACATTTTTAGTCTGAGGGTTGTCTTCTTGTTCTTTTCAGGCCAGTGTGTTGGGTGACGTGTCGAGCGAAGCACCGAAGTCGAATTTCTATCGAAATATCTTTGGAGTCGCCGGCATCGCGCTCGGAGCCATCGTTGTAGGTGCCATCCTGACGAACAAATCATGATATGACTAAGCCGAGCGAAAAAGTAAGATGGCCGAGTAATCTCAACCTGAATGATGTTCAGTTCAGCCATTAGGTATAGGGATATCGACCGAGAATCCTCCGACACGAAGGCGTATACAGAAATGTATATTTTTCAATGAGAAAATGTAATTTTGAATAAATGACGAGGGAGAAAAATTAATCAATTCAATGGAATTGAACTCTGACCGCATCGAGGACATTCACCTATTTATTTTATGGGATATCGCCTGACCAGATATCGAGTTACATGGAATGCCTATGTATATATTTACATTATATATTTCCTACCCCGCGAACATGGGGGAAATCAATTACCAGTGTGCTCGATGGACTCCGCGGAATATTCGTCAAGCCTTTGATTGTATGTCACGACAAATGCGACTAATTAATTCGTCGATATGGAGTCGACTATGAATATCGTAAATCGAAGCCTGACGGGAGTAGGAAAGCTCGGTGCTTCTCGGTTCCCCCTTCCTGAATGCGAGTGTGCCGCTGCTCTGCTTTGTATACTGCTCCTTCTTGAGGCAAAATATTCTCCATTGGTATGGGACCACTCCTATCGGTGAAACCAGGAACGCCGAACCTTACTACTCCCAGATCCCCTCACCCATCGCAAGATGGAGGGGAAGCCTCTATGCGATTCCAGCGCGCGAGGACGCCGTTCTTCTGCCAGACCTGTCTGAAACAAAAGTTGCGGCCTTGGCGTCCAGGAATTCGCGATCGCCCAAGAGGCTTCCTTCACACGGCGCTGATGCCGACATTCATGAGTGTTTAGACGCAGTATCTATCCATGTACCTATGTTGATGATTAGGTTTGGCACAACGAGTCCTGAATCCAATAAATTTGATGGGTATTATCCAAAAAAATGATGGGGTACTCTTCTGTTCCATTCCCTACGTTTGCCGCATCTGACTGAGCAAAGAGCTCGCCGGCCAGTTTTTCTCCCGGAGTGGGCTCTTGGGATTCTGATGAGATTTGCTGGAAGCGTCATCTCTGGCGTTCTCCTGGCAAATCTGAAACCTCTCGCGTTTTCCGTCGGAAGCAGTCGGTTGACGAATCCCGATTCCGGTTCTCTCTTCGCGGAGACCTCATGAAGCGATTTCCAAGTGAAGGTATCCGGCCAAGCTCATCTCTCGATGAGAGAATTCTGATTCAGTTCCCGTCCATCGAATCTTTCTTCCAGCTCTCTACGGCAACTACACCTGAACACTCCCTCGATCGGAGAAAAGACACGGGTTGCTTTCTTTCTCATCGATTTGTGCTTTGTTCCTTTCTTGACTTCTTCAGTTTATTTAATTTTTATATATCATCAAATTGCTTCCGTCTGATCGACACCGCGCATGAGGCAATGCAATTACACTCATCAAGGAAATAAAGAAGAGGCGATGACGATGTCGGGTGATGTTGCTCCAACTATCGTCTCGCCACAGTCCACAACAAGTTCTTGAATCAGATAGAGCCAAGCATTTCTGTCCAGAACTGAAGTCATTTTCTACGGGAGTCAACGCGTCCTAAGCACGTTGTCGTTGAAACACTAGGTCTCGATCAGGATTTTTGTTTGTTCGCCTCTCGGCCTAATTTTCAGGTGTTTGTGAATTTGCGTGAGGTGTCTATGTTGGCAGCTCTGATCGAAGTGATCACGGTGGTGATGGTACAAATAAAATTATCTCTCGATTTCGTCGAGCTGAGGTCCGCCCATCGACCGTCACGCGCCTAGCTATAGACCACCCCCACCAAAGAGCGCACCAATTGAGACCCGGAAAGTTTACAGCGAAAAAAAAGGCCTCCGTCCGAAATTGCTCTCTAGAAGAAGAGAAATTTGATGACGTAGTGCCTCCGGATTACGACACCATCCCATTCCATCATCATCTTGGTCTCTCGATAATCAGCTTGTCCGGTATTATCATAATTTTCCTCATAATCATTCCCGTCATCGTCGATGCCAAGATGCCCAATCGAATGGAGCAAATTCAACGAGACACGGAATAGAGCAGTGAAATTTCCAGAGTGAGGGAAATCGAGATTGCTTCGGTGGACGAGAGAGAAGACAAAAAAATTAGAAACAGGAGAGAATAATACGTCTCGATGCAGCGCCCGTCCTTTCGGTCGCCCGAGCCCGACGGTGAATGGGTCATCGGGTCGCAAGCCTGAACAGAGCGCACTTCTGCTCTATGTACAGAGTCCAATGTACAAATACCGTACACGCTCGTTGACTGGAGTTCGGAGAAGCCGAGGAATCCTTCGATTATTGATACGACGGACACGTTTGCACTTAGCAGACTCATCGGCATCGATGATCATCATTGGGGTACCCATTAGCGTAGGAGAAATTGCTGACGACGATTCTTCGTGAATTATGACCGCGGTGTTTGACATCAGCCCGCGACGAACACTCATCGCCAATTGCACACGAAATTACCTCCGTGTCAACGAGTCGTGGAAAGGCGGCTTCAACTGCTGCTCGCTTGCTACTAGGAATCTGAACGGACGCCGCGACACTTTTTACTTAGTCAGTCAGTTACTGCGAGAACAGTACCTAGATATCATCGGCGGTCCACACCGCCCAATCCTCATCCGTCACTCTATGGCACATGACAACCGGTATGCCAGCCGCTGACGACACAATTGCTACTACTCACTACATAACATCCGATGATCCGAAATTAATAATCAGACCCGGTTCAAGACAATTGTATGACTCCGTCCGAATTCAATTCATTCTCAGGGAAACTCTGAGTTCCGAATTTTGTCCGAGAAAACCTCCGTCGGATCCTCCGGGCCCACTGACTAGTATGCTCCGCAGGGTAGTTGATCTCCCATTCGGATACAACAATGAATTATAAGGATACCGTACTCAGTCACGCACAATTTCGGCCGATATCAGGTGAGGTGCGTGATTCGCACTAGAAATGTTCCCCCGACAGTGCTCCTCGATCGTGATTTATAATACGAGTCAATTTTTACACTAGATTGTTTCCCTCGAGTGGACCTCACTTTTGCAGAGAATAATAATTAGTTAGTGTACAGCTCTCTTGAAGCTCTCGAGGTTTGTTGTTCATGAGAGGGCCTTTCGTTTCCTGATCACGGAAAGTAGCGAAAAACAATGTTCGTTCTATTTTTTTCAATAGCAGGGGGAACTCTCTCCTAATGTATGCATATTTCTTCCGCTCAATTCGCAGTGTTGTTTACAAGATCTATTGGCAGTAGATTTGGCGGGCCTCGAGGATCCCAGACGGGGACCGTATCAAGAGTGAAACATCCCTCATCTAGAATTCGGGATCTTCCACCTGAATTGTCCGTTGTTGCTCTCTTCGTCGTCGAATGTTTTTCCTTTTCGTTATTTCGCGCTTTCGGCGGCTGTGGATGCTGCTACTGGCGATGTCTTTTTCTTAGAGTGACGTCTAAATGACTTGGATGGGAAGGGTGGTGCTCACGGACAGCACTATAGCTTATGCGGAGCGGGGATCCAGGCATTGTTACCCGAGTGGAGCTCTATGAGGATTCTGCACTTCTCGTAGATTTCCTCAGCAGAGTCGCCGGTCACGTTGGCCGTCAGGACATCACCTGTGCGGGGAAAGAGACGGTGTGAAGTGCATCGATATTGGCGTGATGCTCCGAGGGTAAGTTCCTAGAAGAGCGTCGCAGATATTGGAGAAACCGGAAATTGCTCCCGACGGATAGCTCGGGTACTCACTAAATTCCTGTTCAATCTTGAGGGCCCGTTCATATAGCTTCGCTGCCTGCTCTTCGCTTATGCGTCGGTTCATCTCGAGGATGCTCTCGACACTTTTCGGCTTGATGAGAATTGCAATTGGTTCGAGCCCCGCTACCTGCAGCCTTTTGATGGCGTTCGCCGAAACATCTAGGATACAGTGCTTCCGCTGCTGCTCTGCGACTAAACGCACAGCGGCGACTGACGTTCCGTACAAGTTGTCGTTGTATTGTCCCGCCTCAATGAAGTTATGCTGTTGAATTTCCCGCTCCATCTGCTCTCGTGAGGCCACGAAGTGATAATCTCGACCGTTAACTTCATAATCTCGCTGCGGCCGGGTGGTATCTGCGGTGAAGAATGAGCGATCATTCCAACATCGTTCATGGTCCGGGGTAGTGGGGACCAGGGGGTCGCAAGCCTTCAGCGGCTCCGAGTCGCTCGACCACGGGACAATTCCGGGTTACGATGTCGTGCCGATAAATCATTTCCCTTGGCCGAGATAGAGTGCGAAGTTCTACTCACGAGGTACACACGACGCGAAAAGGTTCGGGTATTCGGAGATGAGGTCATCATTTATTCTATCCTTGAGAGGACCCAGGATGACGACAGGCCGGACGTAGTTGACGGGAGTTTCTTCAACAGCTTCGTAACTGAGCACGGTCTCAACTTCACCGCGTTCTCGACAGCCGACCGACGAAGCTTCACTGTCAGATGAAATTGCAGTGGTGTCTGCGAAGGGGAGAAACCGTCAAATTCGACCAAAGGGATCCACGTTCGACACGGGCGCTTTCTCGCAGATCTCACGAGAACCGCCGTGATCGAATCGCATAGATACTCACTGTCCTGGTTGCTGCCATCGTGGCTACCGTCGAAGTCGAGGTCACCGCCATCCCGGCTCTTCATGAAGGGGAACTTGCGGCTGAATGAAAAGTTCTTTTTCTTTCTGTCCAACGTTCCTCCCGACCCTCCGGAGTAGTGACCGAGTCCTCCTCCCTGCAAGGAAATCTGGCGTCAGACGTGCTCGCCCAGAGAGCGAGCATCCGCCTCGGATCCCGGAGCTCCATCGAGCTTGGGGACAGGCCTGCCGAGTCGGCGAAATCCAGCACTTCAACCGTGATCGGTCTGACTTGGCGCGATCGATACTCCGAGCCCGCATCGACATGTAGAAAAAGCTTGCGAAAGCCGCCCTCATACATCACAAGCAGCCTCGATGGAGCCTCCTGCGACGCGAACTGAATTATGCAGACGGGAGCTTATCACACTGGGCGGCCAAATCGAAATCGCAAATCCAGTAGGCTAGAGCGGCGCTGACGGAACGCATTCGGCACCGTGAACCTTCGGCGAGGAGCTTCAACATCCCATCACTGTCAAACTCTCGGCCGTCGTGCGGGAGCAAGACGCGAGAAACTCGGCTGAGAAACTCCGGCTGGAACTCACCTGGAATTTGACTGTCTTGAGACGGGCCCTTTCCCGACGTTCCACTCGACGTTTCGACGGAACGATTCCCACGACGTCCTCGACTCCAGGAGGGAGGACTCTTCGCGCCTGCCACCACTCGTCATCGCTTGCATTCGTCACGTGAAGGATGTCTCCAAAACGAAATGATAGGCCTCTAGATGGAAGTCCACTGTCTCTCTGCGGCTCGTAATCGAAAAGTGCTTTGACGTACAGCGACCTCTTCTGAGAGGTCCTGATGCTCCCTGCGCCCGAATTATTCAGCATCTGCTCTCGTAGCTCGTTAATCTTTGCCTCGAACCGATTGTACTCTGAAAGAGAAAAAAAAAACATTTGAACGCTATTTCTGGCGAATCTCCGCAGTGTATGGTCAGCAGCAGTATATCCCCAAGATTCTGTTCATCGTGATTTTGTTCATTATGATTTTGCGGCATGACATCAGAGCCAACCGCATCCGACGTCAAGGCCCACAAACGCCGATCGGAATTTCTACGGAGCCATCTCATTCATTGGACGCCGCCGAGAAATCATCCGCTTGTCAACCGCAGCCTGCCCGCTCACGTCCCAAGCTGCTGCTGATTAGAATTCTTTGAGATGCAAAAAAAGGATGAATGCAGTTCTCTCGGACGCGAAGAATTTCACGAGGCTTGTCGTTTGATCGCATCGTAGTCGCATTCATCCTCGTTCGCTATGAATAATTGACCACGACGATCGCTGCGGGATCGATACTTGTTGCATGGAGCGGGTTGCGTGAATACCCTTTGCCAGGTGAGCCCGATAAAGTGGACGCTCCCGGGGTTCTCAACAAGGAACGCGCGGCACGTTCCGACGAGGGACGTCTCGGTCGGGGCTAAGTCGACTGAGCCGGCGGACGCTGCGAGTCGGCCGCGATGGAAACACTTCCGAAGTTTCGCAATCGATTCCAATTACCCATCGAGGTATTGGAAGAACACAGCTCGCATGCCGAGAACACAGCGAGTTAACAAATGAGCTCGATTTCTGTGCAATAGAATCCGGAGCACGGGTAATGGAATACATATTCATATCCGATGGCTCACTCGGCCCTCATGATTGGAATGTTCCGTCGAGCGATTCCGGGAAACGGGACGCCCCTCGCCATTCCAAACAAGTGGTCGTGACGATGAACCTCGGGCGGGAGAATCTCTCGCTCTCAGAGTGACATTATCCCCATCCGTTCTCGGCGAGCGAGGATTGAGAGAGATGACCACACCTTCGTCAAACAAGGACCTCATGTCGAAGGTCGATGTTATGGAACCTCCTCGATACATACCCGAGACTCTGGGGCGGACTGTCAGCAATCCGATCAGGCAGGGCGATCAATGATCGAACATGGAAGACAATTCGCATCCCACATGAACTGCTTGTTATGCTAGAACAACCGCTTGCTGAACAAATGTAGTCCTCGTGTGTATAAGAAGGCACTTGTCAAAGAACATTGGTTTTCGATGTCTCCTCGTGGTTAGCGTGGATGGGTCCTCATCACTTGCACAAATTGTCAATTTGTCCTCCACGATTGCTAGAGGCCGATCGACTCGGAAAGATTCCTAGGTAGTCATTCTCGGTAACTGGCGACGATGACCGTACAGCATTCCCACAGCCATTGGAGCCTACCGGCAGGATGGGCACAGGACAGCTCTGGGTGGACCCGTCATCTCACAACAACAAGAGCCCGAACGACGCATTCGACACGCAGGACATCGAGCCCAAGATCTCGATCTAATGTGTTGACCTCACAGAGGGATATCGACTGTGCAGCACGATCACATGGGCAGTCGCTCCAGGAAAATACCGGGATTTTGGCGCTCACTAGCCGGATTCCGGAGGTTCAGAATCCCTCTGAACTCATGGAGGGAGGCCATCTTGTGGGACTCCCTCGCGCTCCTTGGCCGGCCGGCCGGCCGACCCACCGACCAGCCATCCAGTCACCCAGTCAATCAGCACACCCATTCGCGGTCCGGGTGGGCGACTCCGAACCCGAGCAGCACTGGCCCGGGAAAAAAGTCTCGCTCGAATATACAATGCACATACGAGCGTCGTTTATACAGAAGCGTCGTGTGGGTCCGTCTCAGCTCCGCTCTTCGACATAGAGAGAGCTGAACCCGATACCGACTGAAGATGTCCCCTGCGTGAAATATTCGACCCGGGTGAAGTCCTACGGGAAGCTCGGAACCGCTGCGTCGGAGAAGACGGCTCCGTGATCTATGGGGAGTCCGAACCTCTCACTCGGAATCGAAGGGTAGGCACATCGAGACTTTGCGAGCTCGAAGAAGGGCACTGACTGAGCTCCGATCCGCAGATTTCAGAAACTTGCGAGATTGTATCCAACGCTCGACGCGCGATATGTTCGAGATGCGCGTCCCGAACGTCATTGCTCCTCGTAACCCGGACGACCTCAGCGAACGCGTAGGCGTTCATACGGGTCATGCCGCGCGTCTAATTGATTCGCGAAAGTATCTCTTGCAGCGAACTCTGCGACGAAGGGCCGAAATCACCGAAGTAATATCACGCCTCATGAAATTCGTATTACGATCACTAGTTAAGTCGCTGCCGCAGTCAACGAGAAATTTTCCTTCCGGCGCTAGCTGGACGATGCTCAAGCGTGACATTCCGCGCTAATTGCGGAGATAAGGGATGCTGAAGGGAGAGGAGGTATCGAAGAAGGGATTTTCCCATACTCCCAATGTCGCAGCCCGACGTCGGGGGTCCCCGATCGGCATCCAACTTCTCCAGGTCAGAACAATCGTTTCGAGTTACAAAGTATATCCAGGACGCGGGACCGATTTAGATTCCATCGTGACCGCCCTAATGCATTCGCGATCCAGATAGGAGAGGACCCTCCGATCCATCCCCAGGACGAGCGACGCTGAAACTGAACGACCGACACTGAAGCCTAGACGATCAAGAACAACCCGGAAACATCGGTGACTCCAATTGAGAAAGTGAAACAGCGTTCCTAGCTGTTCGGAAAGAAAGGAGATTTCCGAGATTTCCACGTATCCGCGAAATCAGACGAGTGGATAAGGTTGCCCCTAAGGCTCCACTATGCCGCTCGGAGCCTGAGGATCACAGTCTGATCAGAGGTATTTTTGGAAACACCCGCGAATCTAGATCGTCAAATTCGCATCCGAGCATCGCGGCGAGAGTCTTCAAGAGAGGGACGAGCTATGCACCAAGAACGAGGTTCTTGTGCACTTCCCGTGAGACTGCGTCGACCGAGCATGACTTCACGTATTTTCTCACGCATCTCAACAGCATCTCGCACGGAAGGTAGCAGCGTGTCGGAACACGCAACAGTACCGCACGGGATGTGGCATCGGGGTCAACAGGTTGACGGCCGGAGGATGCGTGTATGCATGCTTCGCTTCAAGAATCGCCTGCGGTATGCGATGTCCGGGACATCGGGAATCCTACTCACCGTCAGGTCTGAACTGAACTGTCATGGTCACGGTGTGACCCGCCCCTTTGAGCGCCTGCGCTGCTTGTTCATGAGTTGCTTGTCGAAGGTCGATGTTGTTCACGGCGAGAATCTGATCTCCTCTTCGGAGCTGACCACTCAGATCGGCAGCTCCTCCCGCGAGGATGAATGAGATGAAAATCCCTTCACCGTCTTCTCCACCAACGATGTTGAAGCCGAGTCCACTGGCTCCTTTGCTCAGAACGACTTTCCGAGTTTCTCTGCAATGGAAAATTCTTCGTGAGAAAATTTTATCCATCGATGTATTCGGACCGCGGTTCCTGATACTCTCCCGGTTGCCTCAGCGGAAGAGGATTCGGCACCACAGATGACCTCCGTTGTCCCGAAATGTCCCGTCAGGAATATTATTCCCCTATCCAGACGGATTGGATCGATCGCTAAAGCTCTCCATTCCATCGTTGCGGAGACTTCTGGTTCTGGCTTTATGGTATTCGCGCGTGGGCGCGAATCTCCTCGCTTGATCTCAGGCTATCCCAACTATTCCTCAGGCCTTACGGGCCTGCTCGTGAAGCCTCCGCGTCCCGGCTGAGGTCCCGACCGATGGCACGGCACCCAGAATAGAAGAAAGCTTTTTCGACCAGCCGACCCGTCGAGCGTTCGTCAGCTGTTTCGAGCCGATCTTCTCAATGTAAACAGATCTCGATCGGCCCGAGGATCCCGAAGGCGGTCTACAACAAAGGACGTTGCCGCGCAAAAGAAAACCGACTCGTGAGTCTTCACGTAGTTCCATGGACCGTGAAAGGATTCAGGCAACTGACAAATCTGCAAGATCAGATCTCGTCCCCCTGTACTACATTGGAGTATTTCACGCACATAGTCTTTTTTACCCATCAGAACAAACTCCGAGAAATCGATGGAGGTTCCGAAAATAACTTGGAACGTGAGCTCCCATGCCGTGGAAAGCGAGCTCTCAACCGGGGCTTATTGAGCTGGATTCAGAGCCCACCCCGACCAGCCGTGCTCCGTCCGGGCATCAGAGCTCAGGCTCGAACGGAGAAAGCGGGAGCAGCTGATAAGAAATTGCATAGCATCCTTTGGGATGTCGGAGGCGAAATCCGTCAACACTGCTAATCCGTCTAGAGGTTTTGGGAATACCGCATTGACGTCTTTAGAGACTCCCACCCTGCGACACTCGAGAGCACGCGAGAGAATTTGTCAACGATTGGTGGAACGGACATAAGCCCGGAACAACGTTTTCCTGCAAAGCCTCCAGGGACTGATTCACAATATGATGGCTCCTATCGTGCTGTGACTCCCTAAGCGAGTGTTCTGGCTAAAAATATCTCTCTGTCTGGCGATTCCAGCTTATGGTTATTTGTAGGACGCCATTCTATCGAAATCTCATTCACATTCTTTGTTCGGGTAATGAAGTGCATCAGGGCATCACAGGAGTTCGATTAGGCAGGAATTGGGATTCGCTGAGCAGGCTTCCGACCTGCGTGCTGCGCCGAAACCATCACGGAATCCGTTTCTGTGCTCGCAGTAGATCGGGAGGAAGTCGACGATGAACACAGCAGCAATAAAATTCTCACAAGTCTCGAGAATGAGGCCTGAGGGGTTCTGCGCTCACGAGAGGAGCCGATTCCACCCAGAGCACTCGCGGATGACTTCTCCGTTGAGCGAGCTTACGGAGCAAAACTTACGGACAGGAACCACGCCTCTCCATGAATGATAATATCCGAGTGTTGCTTGGAAGCGAACCGTAGGTCGTCGGCGTCGTCAGGTTCCGATATGAATGAAGGGCCGACACCGTTGTCCGCCATTACCGTGGAGTCAATCACGGAGTAATACAAAAGATTTCTCGATCGGCCATGGCGATTCCTTTCTCGAGAATCTTCCCGTGCCGTCGCGACGGCAGCGTTTATCTTGTAATGCAGCGCATCCTCGATTTCGCACATGTCAACTCGAAACGCTAAGTGCTCTAAATCCAATCTGTGCGGAATAACGGGAACGAGTGGGAAGAATGAGTGCTTCAGATCACACAAACATCAGCTTGACAGACCGTGTAGAGCATAAACGTTCATGCTTGTCTTGTCTTCCGGAGCCCAGAAACTTCTCTGCAATAGACGCTCCTACGTCTGACTCTCACGTCCAAACTCAAGCAACCGTGCCGTAGCGAGTAGCGACCCGAGCCAAAAAATCAAGACGGGTCGCAATCTCTTTCCGCCAATTTGTTCAACAAGCGCCACAAACAGCCGCATCCGGGGAAATTCACCGTTGCCCAGATTTATCGCTACGGTGCTCTTGAATTCATCCATTCTCACTTTCTATCATCTCTTCATAACCAAGCGGACAGACTGCAACCCGATAGGGAACGATGCGGAATTCCGAAAACGCGTCACTCGATCGAACCGACCGCTTCAAGCAGTCAAAACAAATGGATTTCGCCGGATGTCGGGAGTGAATTGAATGGATCGACGCGAGCACGGGGAGAGCGAGGATCGAGCTTGATGATTCCCGTGGTCATTATCACTGTCATCGCCCGCATTTCGATCGAGGCTCGTTTGAAGGATCACCGACTATCGAGCGGAATCGAAGACGCTCGTGTCAAACAAGGCGCCTCATTGAAAAATTAGGCAATGAGGTTCCACTTTCACCTGCCGATCGGCGAATGTTGCAGTCAATCAGATCGAACTCCGCATTGAATAGAGCGAGTTCCCTTCGATTCTCTCGATTGTAGAAAACACATCGAAATTCCAATTTCACCCTGGAAGTGAGTCTCCGGGGAAGCAAACATAGCCTCCTCCACCCCATGGTATTCTGTCGCATCTCCTCCGGTGCGTCCCGAGCACTCGTTTCTTCGTTTCATCCCGCTCTTTTCGAGAGGACGAATCGAGAAGATTTCCCTCCCCGGGAAACTTCTGAATGAGCTGCTCGAGCGGCTCCAAGCCAGGCTTGAACGATCCGTGTAGACAGTAGACACTCGACTGACAAATGATGAATTCCGAGCCAGCGAACAACGCGACACAAGTCCACCGCACGACCCATTCGAGAGCATAGCGTTCGTCTCTAGTAAATTATTGCGACCATTATTATCATTGTCGTTGACTTTGCCATTCACTCAGATTCCGCTCGTCTCTTTTGTGCACTTGTGAAGCGCATCGTTTCAAGCGATGATGACACTGTAAGTGTTGTCGTTGTGTGCGGACGTGTTCGACACTCCAACAAAAAGAGCTTGTTCAAGATTCTGCCATCGGCCTGTATCGACTATAAATAGACGATTGAATACAAAAAGATATACATAAATAAACAGTGATACCGCTCCGCTATCGCTTGGATAACGTATTGGACATCCGAATGAGGTGATTTCTTCCCTCCTCGAACCATGATGAAGCGGAACAGTCCAATAGGTGTCACCACGGTTCGAAAGTATCGAAGAATCATAGAGCGGAAACCTAAATGATCGACATTCCATGAATAGTCGCAGACTGACAATGGATCCGGAGTCAAGTGGAGCTCCACAGCGGAATGTGGGAGAGCAGAGGGATTCGTATAACAAGGCTGATAGCTCTGTTTCCTGAATTTGAACCTCTTTGCGCGAATTGCCGACACAAACTTGGTGGTCAGTCAATGCGGCGTAAAGTTCGTGATCTGCTCAACGGGAGCAGCAGATGCCTGGAGCACGCCGGCAGCCACCAGAGGAATGGGTAGCCTCTGCCTCTTTTCTTTTTGTTTTTTATTTTATCTTCTACTCGTTACTCGACGTCGCTTGATCTTCTTCCTCGGCGGGTTTTCCGCAGCGAGACGCGGGGCTCAGAGGAACTCCGATGAGCAGCCTCAGGACCCTTATTGGGCTCAAGCAGATTGGTCCGGCAATCGCGTATAACAATCACATTGCTGATTCCCTCATCAGAGTACTTTGAATGGAATCGGTAGTCCTTCGGCCGAGCGTCGGCAGATAAAAAAAACTCTCGCTCTCCTGAAACTACCGGCCTCACCTGCCCGTGTTCGAATTCCTCTCACGAGATTTTGAGCGTGATCTCTTCTTGTTGCCATTCATGTCCTCTGTGGCGCTTCTGTTGCGACCCATTTCGTTTCACGTTTTCTCGCGGTCGTCTCCTCTACTTGTCACAAGATAGTCCGGCACCCGAGCGACGCGCTAGGATTTGTCGTCACGGGATTCTCCAGCTTCCCTCAGACTTGTCTCTCTCACTCTGACGGAAACGAGTAGCTGACAAGATATCAGATGATGTTCATCTCAGGAGATTCGGCCGTAGCGGGAAGTTGTGCCGCCCAGCCACCCACTCCGGTTGTCGACGAATCGACGAACGCTCGTTCTCCGACCACGGGTCTTTTTCACGGTGACGTCTATCTACGGTGGCGGCGGCGGCATAAGGGCCAACATGTAGAATGGTAGCGCCAGCTCCGGGAAACTTCCTCTTAGCTTTGCCGTCTAGTCGTTTGCGTAGTTTCACCAGTGAACTAATCCGGCCGGCGTCCCCGGGAAAAAACGGCGAACACCACCAGTAGACGACAGGCACCGCACAAAGCAACGACACTCCCAGTTGCTGGTTCCAGAGCCAGCTAGGCAGGCTCACTGTGGCTGCTGCTACGGTGGTGCTCACGAACGACGACAAGTGTGGCGCTCCGCTCGATACCGAAACCACTCACGAGTCATGTAAACATTATCATCATCATGGAACGAGCCGAACGGTACGCAACAACCATCTACGACGATGGCGACCACCACTACAGCTACCCAGCACACGACCACCAGGGGCCAACAAGATGTGGCGAGAGCATCGTCGAGACCCTGGTCTCCCAGATTTTAATCGTATGCTGATAGCGCACAAAATTAACTCCGAATTCGAATGAGAGTCTGTGGTGATTCGTGAGAAGCCCGATTTAGAGCCCAGCGATCGATGCAGAGGCGATGACAGCTGATGCCGAATGAGGAAAACCAATAGAGGGTACCCGTTCCGGGTAAAGCCCGCCTGTGGATTCCGGAATGTGTTCCGCATTATTCGGGAGATGGACGATATACCGTATTGCCATGGTGACCGGAGCCGTGGAAAGCAACAGTTGACAAACGAATCATTCCTCGTATGCAGCGCCTCTCAGTAATCGTCGAAGCAAGTCTGTAGACGAATTCACTCCACACGTATCCCCTTCAGCGACCACCGGGTGTGGCTTCGCCCAGATCCTCGCTTCCCGTCCGTGGCAGCGGCTATGATTCACGCTCATTCCGCTCTTTTCCATTGAAAATATTCCCTGCGTAGCTGAGCTTCTGCTCCGATTGCTTCAAATCGAGTTTATCGGTAATCAATCGCGCCGCCTTTGGACCCACTCTCGCGAAGAGAGAACGTGACCTGATTATTCAATGTCTCAATAGCTATCTTGCATGGGACTCCCTGAGGGTGGGCCGTCACCACGTTTCTGGGCCACAGGCCCAGAGCCTCAAGGAAGGCAGAAGCTCCCTCAAGGAAGATCATCTCACCGAGGCGTCATACCTGGCTCACTCTACGACGGTAAACCAATGAGGATCCGTGTAGCACTTCCTCACAACTATCTCCCCCTCATAGTATAGCGTTCCGAGGGCTGACAGACCGCGCGCCCGAGAAAGAGCTCGAGAATCGATAATCGTCAGATATACGCCGAACGATCGGAATTTCCTCCACGAAGCTTCGAATCCCCGCATAGGAAGAAGGCACAGCAATTCAGACGCGTCGGCGATCTCGAGCGAGCGCGAACCCGCTCGGGCCTGCTCCGGAATGTTCCGAATATGCAGTCCCTCCCGAACACCGCGATCTGGGTATCCCGAGCCAGGGCTGGATAGGTATGACGACCAGCGCGCGCGTGAAATGACGCGTAAATGACGCGAGTGAAGGGCTGGACCGGATGCATTCCAGTAGCAATACAGAAGCGGGAGAGGCGCGCGTTGCCAGCTTCCATTTCATCCGCGTACAGGTCGACTATCTCGAGCGAGACACGTGCAATGAATGCTCCTTATATGACTATGCGGGCCTTGAAGCCATTGAAAATCTGTTACTCACGATTAATCAGAGTCCGGGACCGGTTACGGACCCGCTGTGCGACGCGGACACTTCGACGATTTTCCTGCATCTAACAGGACGTTCCAATAACGCCGTAAAGCTTCCACGGAACATCAGACACTCTCCCACCGACTCGCCAACAGCACAATGAGCATCGATGGAAGGCTCGCGAGGAGCGAACAGTCTAATTTTGACAGAAATCACATATGCGCACACAAAGTCAGGAAAAGACCGCGCTTTCAGCCGAAAACGAGTGATACTCCGACTATCGCCGACAACGACTACGTCAGACGCACCAGAAACGCGATCGTCTTGAAGCCGGGCACCGATTGTTGGATTGTGGCGCAGCAATCGACAAAACGTCACCGCCGTCAGCATTGAATCGTCAGCCGGATAGCCGGCAGCATGACCAGGGGGAGAATCAAAAAAATTTCCTTCTCGATTGCCCACCTAGAGTCGTCTTCCGGGGGAATTTTCGGAAAGCATCATAATCGCTGGAAGCAGAACGGATAGATAGATATTCAAAGCGGAGAAGCAAAATCGCATCAACTCACACTCGACTATCGACATCGTCGCTGGCTGCTTTGGAGGTAGATGAGATGTTGGTGTCACTCAAATCGTCGATTACGCCGGCGGCAATGTTCGCTGGAATGGGAAGAAAACTTCGCAGAATCGCACGACGCGACGTTTGTATGACGCGGGGGATTCATGATGTCGACGATCATGGTCTCACGTAGAAATTCCACAGTCTTGGGTCCGTCTCTTACCTCTCACATCTTGAGGCACAGGTGGGGGTGGAGGGAGATGATGAGATGTTTTGGCAACCGTGAGCAACACGTGTTCACCAGTGGCTTTTAGCGTGGCCACAGCATCTTCGTGCGATACTGTCTCGAGATTCACTGAGTCCACCGCAATAAGCTTATCGCCCACCTGTAGAATAAGGTAGGAATGAATCGCTTAGAGTCGAAGTCCAGGGAGCCAGAGAGTCGCCGGGGAGCTGCGGCGCATATCTATCCGTACAGAATGTCAATCATGTATGTAAAATAAGTATTTCGTCATCGTAGCCGTGACGTATCCGTCGGGAATATTCCCCGTGATGGTTCGATACAGATGTCACAGAATAGCTTTAGAAACAATGGAACCTTTAAATTATGATGACGCATCCGTCTGAGTAGGGAATCGAACGAAAGCATCATCTTCAAACGCTGTTCATTGTGCCACCAGGAAGAGGTACTTATGACCGATGGCCGAACAGTGGACTTTGGAGATAAGCCACCAACGCAGTTTACAACACAATCCGCCTGGGAACCAAGTTGAGTCTCCTTCCGCACAAATAGAGTCCGAATGCCGACATTGAGCATTTATGATCTATCGACCGGTGATTTTAGGGCGGACTGCAGTATTTAGGGTACGAGATGGTTTTCACGAAAATGTTTGTTTGGTGTTTGAAGAGGCTTCGGGGCATCATCGAAAACAAGAGAGAGAGGACAGCGGGAAAGAAGGAGAGTGAGTGCACTCTATTCGATGAAATACAAAATTAAACCCGATGCTCCCGATGAACATCCCGCAACCTAGCCCTCTATAGGGCAAAAGGACTTGTCATTCGCAGACTCGCTGTACGAGGCAGACAGCGTTACACATTTGTCCTGCGTTGCGAGCCCGACGAAACTCAAGATGTCGAACTGGCGATCAATCAGCTGTCAGCCGCCGCAAGCGTCAACAAACACGCGCAAGCACTGTCTCCCTCTTATCGCGAGGGTTCTTCCAGGCTCGGTCGCGCATAGCGGTTTGCCGCTACTCTCGGAATTTTCGATCACTAGGCGATAGAATTCCCGAAGTCTATAAAGCGAGCGACTTCAATCGCTTCGTAGGAGAGAGGGATTTGAGATCGTCCCGCGGTGTATCATCTCTCGCTGACGGTGTGCGGGGGAGCGTCCGCGTCGATCTCCGACTCGAACGTACCCCCAGCGATAACAACCCGTAACGAACGCCGAACAAACGCTCGTATTTCGTTCTCCTCGGGCAACTAAGGAGCTCGTATACCTTCGCCACCAGGGAGGAGGTAACAGCGGCAGTCAAGGAGCCTGCGAGCAGCAGACAGGAGTTCGCAGAGTTATTTAAAGGCGCGTCATCATCATCATCGCTGGCGGTGAAAGCAACGATCCGTAACCGAGTTGGAGATATCACTGTTCTCCGGGAAGTCGAGCCTGTTCGCCTTTTGCCGACTCCTTGCAAGCGCCGTGCCCGCTTCCAACTCGGAGTCGTTCCCGTTCGTTCCCATCTTTTTCGGGAAACTTTTCCCAATCATTCGATGAAAATGCTGGGAGACCCGAATCGGAGGAGAATATTCCGCGACTCCGAGGTTGCTCTCCGGAATGGATGTGGAACTTCTCCCTCGCGCTCGCCGCGACTTGTGTCGGACGTGTTAAGTCACTGGCACGGAGAGAAACAAGGTCTCATCTACGCTTGGAATAGCTACCGAAGGAAACCCGACGACCGACTCGACGCGAAGTGCCACGGCAACAGCTGGAAGACTCCTCTACGACTCACCTGTAATCTCCTGTCGTGGTACGCTGCCCCGTTCTCACTGATCTTAGTGACATATATGCCGTTGTCTCCCGAGATATGCTGGTTGCCTATTCCCCCGGCGATACTGAAGCCGAGGCCTCGGGTTCCCTTCTGCAACTCGATTTCAACTACTCCGGGCGGCTCTTTGGTCGCTCGCTTGACCAGCAGGTGGACTGAGTTACCGGCTCTTTTCAGCGCGTCGACGGCGATCCTATGAGGTACATCTACAAAGTCGACGTCGTTCACTCTGAGAATGATGTCGTTCACCTGGCGGAGGAGAAAACGTTCCGTTATTTCCTCCTGAGATAGTCGGATGCCTGATCAGATATGCAGTCTCTGGTTGAGCCATCGCGACTTCGGCATCTCATTATTCTCGCTCATTGCCACCCTGAGGAGAGGAAAAATTTCCGATGTCCGTCGATTCCGATAAGCTCCGGGGGTTCCTGGGGCCCGAGCAGAGTTGTATCCAGGGGGGAAGGGAGGGGGGGGGCGAGGGGCCATTTCCACCTCCCCCCAAATTTGCCTTCGTAATGCATGAGTACAGAGTGCCTCATCATTCAGGAACCCTGGCCCCCCGGAAACCTACTCTGCCCCCCCCCCAAAAAAACCTACAAACGCTACTGCGTCCGACTCGACATTTTCCCAGAGGAGGAGAGGGATCGAGCTCCCCCTCCCTTCTCTGGAATTCCACACCGGTCTAAGGAACACCTCCCGTCCCGGAAGCCGCGTCAAAAATTCTAACTGACCTGTAGTCTTCCATCGGCTGCAGCTGCTCCTCCGACAATGATCTTGGTAATGTAAATCGATGGATCGTCGCCCACGTGAGGATTGTCAGTACCTCCCGCGATGCTGAACCCTAGACCAGCACTTCCTCGTTCCAGAGTTATCTCTTCAAACTCCCAGTCCACTGGTACCTCGGCTCCCGATACGTTCTGTAAGATTGCTTCGTGATTGGCCAGGTACCTCAGTCGGTACGAAAATATGCTCTCGAGATTATGTAGATGGGCGAAGACCGATAAAACCCATTCCTGGTGGAGCACCGGATCGGACTTCACGTCTTTCCTGGCCCTGCTTGATCGAGCGGGATCATGATCAGGGCCGAAAGGCCCAGAGTGCCCCTTCTATTGAAGCCGTGTGCACGCAATTCCTCACTCCGGGTTTGTGCTATGCTTGTGCTCGGGAAGAGCAGCTGCACCAAACGATCTCGGCAGATTCGCTCCTTCGCCGGGTTCCCAAAAGCACAATAACCAAGCGTATCTGTTTTTTCTCTCTCTTGAATTACCCGCATTATCGACCGAGTCCCGAAATCGAGCGCACTGACTGAGATGACTATGATGGAGCGCGGAGCCCAGGAATTCATTAGAGTGCGGGCGAACAAAAGCCTACTTACCCCGTATCGCTGAGATGCTTCGTCGAGATCTCCATCTCCGTTGCCGAGGATACTCGGGCTCTGGGCCTGGATGTGGAAAGGAAGGAACAGCCGTCAATCCTAACTAATCTCAGCCGGTGGATTCTACTTGTGGAAAATTAGCGTGATAGAGTGCCATTCCAATTCGAAAAGTGAACAAATGAGATCGAATGTCTTCGACTGTAGATTTGTGCACGAATCCAATTAGATGCCCCACTGAGAACGCAAGATACGAGATGTTCCGAAGTTCGATACTCGATCAGCGCTGAGTGCCGTAGCTTCGAATTCGCGTTCGACTCAGTCAGAAAGCTGATGGAACGCGATAGCTATGGAGAACGAATCCCCACGTGGTCTTCGGACACGGTGCGATATAATCTCCCGAACGTTTCCGGGGACATCCGATCGAGGCCTCCGAGAATTTCTCACGTCTTTCACCGAGCTCCGAACGAATTTTTTTCCGCGCGGAAATCCCGAAGGATCCTCCCGCATCTCGCCCGGAGCTCCAGCGGCTGTTGATCCCGAATCGAGAGAGCTCCACTTTTGTGAAGCCCCGAGACGCTTGGCTTTGTCGTAATTTTAACTTGAGCTCCAGAAATAAATGCACGGGATAAAAAAAGGTTCGAGAAAGTCCCTAATCGTGTGAAAGCGGAGTTCTAGCCTTGAAATCGCTAATTCGCGTCTAGCCGAGCGAAATATGCAGTGGCCTGAGGCGCTCGGCTTCCTTGGAGACTCTTTATCGGGAACGGTCCCGTGCTGCTGCTGTCGCTGCAGATACGCGACGTCGCCCGGCGGCTCGTCCGCCTCCCCGAGACACCCAGGCAAGTCCCAGGTCAGCGGAACGCTGTGGAGGGAAGCGGGAAAAACTGCTTCATTCGCTGCTTCTCCACCTTATGCCTTTATGGTTCCCAATGGGCGAAGCGCGAATAACGCGGTGTTCGCCACCTCCCACCGCTGCTGCTCTGAGTCGCTCCGCTCGATCCGGAGCTCGGCTCTGTGCAACAGCGGATAAGGGAGCAGCATCGAGCGAGAGTGTTGCTCTCTGTGGCCGACAACAAACAACACTTGTAAATCCACCCACTCCAGCAGCTTTTTGTCATCCGCAAAAGTGGTTGTTGGTCACGAACCCAGTGTTTAGGGCACGCTGTCTGTAGGCAACGAGTCAAGGGCTCAGATCGCGCAGGAATATTTAAGACGCGGCACGAGTGGAAGAAGAAGAGGGCGCAAACATCTGCGTATAGACCGCACATACACCCGAGTGCAACTTCAAACGACTTCCCCGCAGAGACTATCCCGGAGGGGAGCCACGGGACGAGGATCCATCCGTTGAGTTTCTAACGAGGAGAGGGTAGAAAGCGTCAGTGAATGGTGGTTGGTTCGGTGGATACGAGCGATTGAGTGAGCGAGTGGGGGAAGATAGAGTTCACAGTCAGGCAAGTGTCGCTGGATTCGTGAAGCAGGAGCTCACAGGAATAATAAGAGGATGCTGTTCTATTTCGGAGTCGGTTCCGGCGCAGAGAGAAGATTACTCAGACGGCAAGCAGGCTACCGACATGGTTCCTGCTCGTGCGAGTCGCACAAAGTTCATCTCCGCGGGACGCGGTCGTTGGAATGCCGCGACACGAGCACCGCTCACACCGATCATAACATTGCTCACAAGAGCGAGATATGCGACTACCTACGTCAAATGCGACATCCAGATATTCGACCAAGGGCACGGCTCTGTCGGAATGCAGTATCTACGTGCTCGCCACAGGAACGATTGTTTCCCAGATCGCCTAGAGCGAGTCATCTTCCGTGCTTTTCCATTTCTCTCATATTCCCGTTCCTCCTCGACCTCAGTGCTCACGTCGCTTCACTAGCATATACGTACATACATACACAGTCCTGGCCGTCAGGATATCGTGTAATTCGATCATAGGCTTGCACCCACGATTCGTATAGGTGGAAAAGATTCGCCGAGCGGCCACGCGGCCGAGAGGAAAGTGCGTGCGTCATCTATGATTCGCTCGTGCTTCGGTGCCATGGATCTTTTTTATAGCGTACCTGATCGAATAGTTCTAATTTCTTTACCAATAGAACCGAGTCCAGCGGAACTCCGTGTCTTCGGTAGCTGCCCTGTAGTACGAGCTTGTATGAAGATCATATCACACCTTTCCCCGATTCTCGGCATAATATACCGGTGACGTCCACTGCGTCTCTCTTAACGAGGGACACCATCGGACGACGGAAAGGGGGCACATAATCAATCCCTTGCACATAGAGGCTCGACAGCGACAGAGATCTACGAGTTCCCCCTCCAGACGCTCCACAGCGTGGAGAAGGTCCGTAGAATGCCAAGGAAGATGAGGAGGTATGATCTGTGAGGTAATTCTTGGTCTCGATCGCCGATAGGACGGAGGAGATCTGTAGGTCGTACCAATAATATCAGATGATAAATGAACTGTTGCATCCCTGGCATGAAGACATAAAAACCCCCACGCCTCGTCTATCTCGATTCCGCAGATCTTCAAGAGAATCCCGAATGATCAAGCGAAGAGCTTGATCAGATCTCCGTGAGACGAGGGACGATAGTTTACTCCGTGTGCGGAAGTTCTCGCTTGTCCCACAAACTCCCAACCGGCCTTAAAACGTCTCCTGCCGCATGGTATTGAGCGACGAGGATAGGTTCGAGGCCCCTCGACCTACTCGATTTCCTGTCCTGCCCTTTTAAACAATCAATAGGCCTCTGGATGAGGGGAAATCAACATTTGGAACTCGGGTCGGATCGGAACTATTCCCCTTAAAAATGGTCAAATACATATTACCCGGCGCGACCTTCTGACAGTCCCGCTCCGCGATAGAACCACTGCCTCCGCCGGAGTTACTGGAACAGTGAGCACGGACTCCTCAGCACCCATCGCATGCTTGGCGTATCAATAGCATGGAGAAGCGGGCAACACAGGCGACAACGACGACGACGACGGAATGGACAACAACACCACCATCGGAACCGACGACGATTCCCACAACTTTGACGATGACGACGACATCCGTATAAACACTCTGTTTCACATGTTTTCAGCGAAAAAATCACGGAACCCGGGCGTCGATGCGATCGGGCCGGTGGGTTTTCAGCTGCGCATGTTCATCGAGTAAATTGTGGATGCTACTCCGAAAAGCGGTGAGGAGCGAGCACACACACGGTCTTGCATGGGCAACTGTGCACCGTGCCACCGTGCTAAATCGGGCGCATGTGACTCGTTGGTGGGCATTAGCACCAGGGCCACGGCACGCCCCCGCAAGAGAGGGTCCTCTGGAGGAGAGGCCGGGAACTCATTGAGCGCCGAGATAGCAAACGGATCCGAGCGCGCCAGACGCAACGTGTGAACTGTGAACATGATGTGTGTCGTAGGCGGAAGAATCGAGTTCCTCATGGGAGCGCATGCTGGATGCGCTTCAACCTTTCTGAGGAAATTCCGAAACCGCGGAAGCGACGTTGACGGTATCCCTCCGGTATATCTCCCCCCAATGGGTGTACAAATGTCCAAAGAGTTCGACGAATAACTTCTACCTCGTCGAAGGAGAGTCGTTCCGAGATCGGGATTTCCCATTGATTGGCGGAGGACTGCGGCATTAAGGAGGGCAGCTTATTACACTGGTGGAATAAATAAGCTGCGCCGTCACATTCCTCCTCTCGGTTGAATATTCCGTACTCGGAGGAGAAAGTTCCGAGCCGGGAGCAGAGCATTCGCTTCCCCTACGTCAAGTTCTCACTCCATTGATATCTCACATCCAGAGTCGTCCAACTATTTTGCGCGATCGGAAGCCCCCCGGACGAGCTAAGGTATGCGAGAGACTCTGCCTTTCGGATCCGCGGTCGGAGCGCGGTCTGCCCCGCCGTGATGGTCGCACGTGGGAGTAAGAAGACCGTAACGATCCGGTGTATCTGAAATCTGAAGTGATATCCGAGACGAATCAGCCGAATCGTCGCAGCGGAATCGAGCGTCTCACGGCAGCCGCTCCTCCCAGGAACGAGCTTCCCCCCAAGGGAGACCGTCGACAACGCTTCCTCTCGATGGGACGATGTCGATATTTTTAGGATACCACCGAACCTTCGACTGTCATATGTCGCTGAGTGCTTGCTAATTTTAGAGAATCACCGAGCTTTCCAGCTGAACGCAAGCAGAAGTCTTCTTCCGACGTCCGTCGCGTCGAATTCCTTCGACTATGACAAATTCTCCCACGTGAATCGATTAGAATTTCGGAAGGCTCAAGTCGACCGATCGAATTCCGTACTGCGAGCAGCACGTCCGCCTTTCGAAGCTACGTACCTACGAGACGGTATCGTAGGAATCACTTTCGAAGAACGCGGGAATCGGGAGAAGCAAGGAACGAAATTATTTGCACCATGAATATGGCACGTTCCAGCAGTAGCCGACCGACCGATCGAAATCGGCTTCTCCATCCCGCAGATCAAAGTAATCAGATTCTGGACCGCGGCGTAGTCTGACGTATCACGTCGACCCTACGCATCGTCCGGCCTTAGTTGACCAGCTCGGCATTTATTCCTTGGCGTGCAGCTATTTAATTATTCGGCTCGTCATAGCTTACACGGTATTAATAGCCGTAGGAAGCTGACATCCACTACCATAACTCAATTACTCGGCTTGTCCAGCAAAACGGTAGCATGAGGCATATTGCACACCGTAAGGCAGACCTCCGCCGTTTTTCATATATATGATCCTCGCTCTTACGTCGCGCCGGATTCTTTCCGATTCAGGATATCAGACATCGGATCGGTTCCGAGTACCCCAACGCAGACCCGTATCGGAAGTCGGAGTCGAGGCGATGTAAAGAAGAAATGATATCTAACGAGCCCCCTTCAGGGCTTACGTCTGACGTATGCCAGAGTCTTCCTGAAGATCTACGTTTGCTCCGGGACCATGCGCCGCAAGAGCTGTGATCGGTCAGAATTTTAATGTCCGGACGGGTTGATATCGAATAATTTCAGGGACAGGCGGAGGCTCTGAATAGGTCGTCAACTCCCTCCGATGATTAATTATCAGGCCCCGTCCCGATGCTTCGAAGCCTATGTATACTCCCCATCGACTTCGAGAGTTTTCCACAAGGAAATCAAGCTGCCCGGATGGGGCCGCCGAGGTGGATGAGAACTATGGGAATGAGTTAGTGCGGAGGACGCCGCTCCTTACCTTGTCTGGCGACTCGGCGTTGAGGATGTGATTCGCTGAATGGTACAGCCTCGCGAGAGTTGCATTGCGCGACGGAGGCAATGAATGATCCAATGGTATCAGGAGGTCTCCGCCGGCGACTTCGCCCAAATCGTCATCGTCCAGACAAGCGCCGTAGTATTCTTTCTTCTGAAAATTCGAGACCATGATGCTGAATCCGTTCGAGGTCGCATTCGCCGTTCTATTCTGTTAGGGGTTACAAAGGGGAGTCGCGATGGATTCCATGAAACTCTTCCTCATGGCATCCGCAACTTCACTCCGAACTTACTTCCGCGCTCCATTTTTGGCCTCGATAATTTCCGAGACTGACTGCTCTATTGCTGATCGAGCTTTTGGAGCGGCCGAAAGTTCCGAATAATAACAATCGGGGACCAGAGGAGGCGGATCTCGGCGGTCATACAGATCAGTTCGGGAATGCATCGAGAACTCATTCAGAGAAGTCGAAAACACGAAATGTGAGTGAAGGCCCGTGTCCGGTGCTTTGTCGGATAATGACAACTAGATCCAACTCTCTCTCATTTTCTGAGAATTCAGCATCGGGTACAGGCCATATCAACTTGATTGAATGCCGCAGAGCTAGCGATTGGATCATCTGATTTTCCTCGGAAAGATCGAGCAGATCTCAACACGCGGCGGTGTGCTGTCAGGCCTGCTCGGAGCGAACCCCGAGCCACGATCGGATGTCCCTGACAAACAAGAGGAGGCACTTATTCCGCCTGACCTGGCTCGTCACACTCGAAAATGTTCGATAGGATCTAGGCGACGGAAGCTTTTCAAAGGATCCTCTATGTGTCTCTTGTTGATCGCAGAGAGTTCATGCTCGCTAGGATTCCTACGGAATTCAAGACACTCCCGGCAAAAGCCCGCGTGCTCTTCTAAGCAGTCATTTGGAATCTGTTTTCAGGAGCCGCTTTCCACTCAGATTAGTTCTCTTCGAGGTAGCAGCGTCCACCGACCTTGGAATAATTTCCGCCATTTCCCGCCAAAACTGAATTGAAGCGGCAACGAGGCTCACTGTTTCCTCCATCGTCCGATGAGCTCCGAGGAAAAATTCCCCGAATGCCGTGTTGTTCACATTCCACGGCTACTCCGATCACATTCTTTCATAGAAAGTAACTCCGAGGCCTCGGCCATACATCAATGATCTGTGAGCTGTAACCCCGATGACATAACTCCGATCAATCATCGCACTTCGGCTGAGGCACCAACTAGCCAGTCAGTCGCTGTCAGTGAGACCGCTCGTGGAAAGGCGCAATCTTTCTAACATGCACCAGCGATAATCACGAGATGAATCAATGGCATTCCTCCAACACGGTAGCTATCCATGAAATAATGGTACTGAGCAGGTTAGGTTATCGGTGACGATGGTGCAGCGAGCTCGTACGCTCGAACGAGGGCCGAGTCGCTTGTCACATACCGTGGCGCAGAACTCACTTTCTGATTTCTAGAGAAGGCAATCCCGCAACAACCTGCGGAGTCTTGTGCATCACGTCGTAGGTTCTCGCTCTGGGCCAACTCGGCTCTCCGTTGGCGGCTGAGCATGAATACGCTGGCGTAAGAGCGCTGACCGCGCATGATTGAAACCCAATCTAACATCTTGATACGTTTCGGTGTGCGCTTCCACCTCGAATGTAATGTACACAGACGCTTCTGCGCGTCACTTGGATAATCACAGTTCGATGAATGTACTCGCTATATATTCACTTTCACATATTGTCTTGGGTAGTGGCGGCGCGACGGGCAGGCTCAACAATGCTTTGGTGCCTTGAAGCCGAAAAGAGAGGGAGAGCAGTCATATTAGTGAAGAGATGCGCCGCTACTCAGCTCAGTCAGTCAGTCAGACTCTCCGGGGTTTCTAGAGAGTCGGAGAAAGAGCACTGTCGCTAGAAACCCTCCCCCTCCAGCTGCTTCCGGCAGACGACAGAGCACGATGTCATCGATGTACCTTCTTGCTCAAGTCATACTTCTGATGAAACGGACTCATTTTTCGGGGAATGAGAACCGACGTTCCGCTGATCGTGACCCAGACCGCTTCGCGCGACACGACGGCGTTTAGTGCATACTACCCGTACAGCCCGTGGGCAAAGGAGGTCTCAATCGGAGACTCCCTAGTCTAGTGAAGGCGTCCGACACCGAAGCGAATCAGCTCCCTGGATTTTTCTTCACGTGCATCACTCCTCACCACCCGACTTCGATACCCCGTAATCCCTCAACGGAAAATGTAGGAAAGGAAGGAATTTACATCACTGAAGCGCTCACCTTGAACTCGGATCCGATGAGTGCTGTAGGGTAGAGGAGGTCATTGCTTTCCCATCGATGGGCGACCTCCAACGTTTCGCGGGTTTTCTGCTGCGAACTCTTCCCTTCGTCTAGTAGAGTAGTTTCGTAGTACTCCTGTATGTCTGTGGAGAGCAGTCGATTACTCAAAGGATCTTGCTGATAACGATGTAAGTCCGCAACTGGGTCGTGAGTTCTCATACAGCGCTCTCGAGCCAGGCGTTGGGTTCTGAACCCCGCTTGCCGGGACGTGATACGCCACATCATTGAACTACTCCAGGACAGGACCAGAAACCCAGCCCCCGAGCCATACACAGCTTGCTCCCAAGCAGCTCGGCAGTTGGGTGGGTTCAGAGGAGCAGGCGAGGAGAGCCGATAATTTTCGATCGATTCCCACCTGTTACCCGCTCGCAGGACGCGACAGCCACGGAAACAACATCTACATACGTTCGAAACTACGGCTAGCTCGTCGCGTCTCGAACGACGCGAAACTTGGTCAGGAAGGAAGCTCGAATTTCAACCGGAGAGTGGTCACAGGCAACTCAGAGCCAATACCGAAACCTTCTGACCAGATCTTGGGACCGTCCCCGAAATTCGTTCCGATCGCCCGGCAGAAATTCAAACTCTCGCTCCGGATCCTATTCAAAGGGCTCACCTAGCAATGCCTGGAACAGCTTGGATTTGAAGATTCTGATGACTCGCTCGATTGCCTGGCGAAGTTGGCGATCTTGTGGTCGCGTCAGTTTGGCGTGATAGTCTTCCAACAACTCCAGGGCGCGATGAGCTTCTGCAATGAGCGCATTCGAATTGTCATTCTCGTTCAAGGCGAGTCTTCGTCTACCTCTTCGCCACCCCCGTGAATCTGCACCTCTATCCACGTCTTTCCTATTACTCATTCTATCGCGTCGGCTTCTTCCCGGTGTAAGAACTGCGTTCCCCGATCTTTCTCCCGCGAGATTCCTTCTCGACCTAGAGCGAAGGATCTACATATGTACCCTCAGTCGGATGTGAATAGCAAATCTCTACGATTTCGACTGTATCTCGCGTCTCGCATCCACGGACGCGGCTAGGTATTCGATAACGAGCCAAGTTTCGGCACGTCACGGAAAGTTCCTCGTCGACAGATGGGATATCTTATTTTTTATCTCAGAGATTCGGTCGTGCGACTGCGACCTCCGGCTCACACGCGTCGGGCTGATTCAGAGCTCCGCGCCAAATGACCACAGCAATTAGGAACACAGCAGCTATAAACATCTCCGCGGGCTCGGTAGCTGCTCCATAACTCGGTGTACTTGGTCTTGCTGACCGGAACCACCCGATGTGGGAGATATAAGTGAGCACTCGCGACCAATCTGGAACTTCCAGCTTACCGGTCTCTCCAGTGAGATCTCGGTGCTGCTCTGGTCTCTGGAAATTCTCTAGCAGCCTGGAAGGCTTGCGACGTTGTGAGTGGCTATTTTCTGATACAGCAAATGATAGCCGACCTCGTAGGATTTCAAGCATGCGAGCCCACTATGCCTAATGATCCTTCTGCCTCTTCACGGTTTTTCTGCCAAGCGAGCGCGAGACGCAGATGTTCGCTTGATGATCCATGATCAAGCCGAATCGCCCAAATCCGCATTCGGTCGTCTTGAGCTAATATTTTTGACGACAAGCTCTCTGTCATCCAAGATGACGGGCGGGACTCACCTTGCTTATGGTAAGGCATGTTCCAGGCTGATAGACTCTACGAGGAGACTAATTGATTTTGTGGACGAACAACAGGAGGTTCCAGTTGTCGACACTCCGATGTTCAATGTTGAGAACAATCTTACTGAATTCGGGCTGCGTAAGGGACTTCATGAAGCTCAGCGCACGTTTTCACGAGAGCTTCTCTAATCTGCTCAAAACCTCACCGAATAGATCGCTGTTCCGTCAAGTTGTGACTCGACAGCGGCTTCTGCCGTGTCGTGCATAGCGTTTCGCCTGGAATCGAACGTGGAGAGAATTAGGGAAAGCAGACACTAGATATTGAGTCGTCCGGAAGACTGCAGACAACCGCATTACGACCAGTGCTCTTCGACGGATAGATTCCGACGGACAGCACAGCCCTTCTGGAACAATCCTTGATTAGAGAAGGCGAAGGATTCATTCCGAGGCCCTAACTCACAGGGAATCGAGGAACGTATCAGCAACAAGGTTCTATTCCCCTGCTTGCACTGAGCGCGCGGCTCAGCCATTAGCTTCCTTTAGGGCTAGCTGTTCAAGTCGGGAGCTTAGCGAGCTTTTCTCCCAATTTTCGCAGGGAGTTTCCCCGGAACGAGGAGATGGAAGTTGCTGTTGGCCTCTGGGAAGCAATCTCTGCCTCGAGGCCAAGGATGTGGATAGCGTTGCGCTCCGAAAGTTTCCACTCTCCCACCGAAGCCGACAAAACAAACAATATGATTGCGCTACGAGCTCATACCCCTGCGAGCCCATGTTGCACCGGTGTTGTTCTCCCGAGTACCAGGTGATGTTCGATCGCTGTTCTCGAGCTTTACGGCTCCGGAGACAAGAAGTTCATAGGACAAAGCACTGCACTCTTGTCGGGAGGGCAACAACTCCCGACAGGCCCTTGAATCGGTTGCTTCGTCGGCTTCTTGTTTCGTCACGACACGTTTGAGACAACGGAGAAGCGATTTCCACAACACTCACCCGATTCCAGAGCGAGCGGACGCGGGGTCGGAGTTCCGCGAGGTCGGAGTCCCGCCACTAAGTCCCTGCACGATATGGGACTTTTTCGTTTGGCAGGTTCCTCATCGGGAGTCACTTCCACGCAAGCAGGGCATCAGAAAACTGGCGGCGGTTGGCCCACCGACTAGACACGGGCAGGCTGGCCCTTATTTGGCAAGTCAGATCAGACGCTGCCGTCGACGTTTAGATCCGATCCTATTGTCATCGCAACAGGCGTCACTTGCTCTCCTTCCTCTCCGATTGATTGGCCGATCGGCCAACTGCGAGCGGGCGCCGTCCAGGAATCCTGACAGGCGTGGATGAACTCAACGTCGACCCGGGACCAGCGCGTTGGAAATGCCCGCCCGCAGAGGGCGAATGTAACTGACAGAAAGTGGGCAATTTGGCCTGAGCCGCCCGCACACGGATCGCACCACGTGGCTCACCTCCATACATCTCCCGGCCAAATCCTAATGAACTGCTGTATAATTCAATATCAACTCAGCCGTCCTCACATGAGAGGGAAACTTTCCACGGAATGATGGCCATTCCGCTGCTTGCCTGCTGCCGCTCCCGCTTAAGGAACATCGGGAACTCTCTCGTTCGGCCCCGACTGGGAACCAAGAACTTGGGCTCCGTAAGCGTAAAACTCCACCGCAGTATTCGGCTCGGAGATGGAAGCCTCCGAGCGAACTGGCAGTTGGCAGGAAGGCAACCAGGCAGACGCGTGGGGTGAGCCGGTTGTCGGAGCAGAGCGGCGATGCGCTATCTCTAGATAATAAAACTCGGTTCCCACTTCCTGCTTCGGCTTTCTTTCCCTCTGCCCGGTGGAAACCGCTAATACCTCCCATGTTACCTCTTTTCTAGCTTTTGCCCGGACGAGCTCCCACTCGGTTTCTTCATTTCAGAAGCGAGCTGCCAATGGACGAAAGCAGCAGGGGTCGCAGGGTGCCGCAGGCACACCTGATTTGAATGGGTTTCGACGGGTAATATATGACATCGATTCCATGACAAGGGCCATAAGTCAGCTCCGAACAAATGCTCGCATTACAAAGCAGGCATTGGCAACGACGAGATCTCTCCAGATCAGCTCGTTGCTTCGGAATCCGCTCGTTGGCTGTTCTACTCAAAAAACAATGGAGCGACGTGCCATAATATTACGAGCGCGGAATAACGAGGCCGCGACCAGCCTTGAGCTCCTCTCATGTGCGACACCTGTGAAGTGTTTACATGAATCTCGAGTCGCGCAACGCATACATACCGGTTTCGTTGCCGAACCGGTGCGGCGCGGCCGCTGGGGGAGCTACGAAATCAGCCCGGCGGCTCCAAATAATTATCTCGAGGCTCTCAGCTGCATCGCGATCGGTACTCGACGAGGAGGAGGATGAGTTCTCTTTCCAAAAACAGAGTCGCTCACGTGAAATGAGGATGTACGATAGCGGACGGAGGGGGGCGAATCGTTCCGACTCACCTCGGTATGTGGAGGCTCGTAGGGCGTTGCCGGTCGCCTCCACTTAGGTGCTTTTCGGAAGTTCGTGCGTTCGCCTTCTCTCCGGGACGTCGTTGCGGTGTGCGGACGTCACGGGAGGCGATCCATGGAGCAAGGTACACAGCGCACCATCACCACATAGGAACTAGCATTGGAATCGACGCATTCCGAAACTACCCACATATGCCTCACAAGTGGAGCGCTTCACCGAAGTCAGGGTTCTTGGGGACAGCCCGGGCCCTCGCACACCTGGCCAGGTGAGCGCGAACCCCGCGCGCACTCCTGGCGCGCTGGCAAACGAGCGCTTCTCGATTCCCTCTCATCCTGGAGTCGGACTGCTCGCCTGTCGCGAGGCTCCCTCAGCGTATACTAGTCGTGCCCTTTCTATCGTTATCGCTCCTCAGTTTTCAATGAGGATCGTGGTTACCGTGAACTGGGATTTTACGCTGCGTCATCGTCCTCCGGCTACATTTTCGGGGCGTTTTCGCGTAAATCTATTCCGTTCGAGGTTTTCGGATACGTTTTCGCTCCCTGATCCTGGCACGGATAGATCAAAGAACCCTGGCAAGCGAGCGAGCTCTCCTCTTTCGCGCTCCTGGACCAAGGAGAACGCGCCACTATTCAAACAGGGACATCTGTTGGCTAAGAGCGTAGACTGCAGCGGTCGCGGAGGGACGGGAGTAGAATCCCATGCATGCGGAAAACACAATGGAGAAATGCTCTTCATCCCACTCGGAATTTTTCGCGTCCCGAACCCCCGTCATCCCTTATTCATGCCCGTGGTCTCTCCGTCGTGGAGAAGTGGAAGAGGGGATGGACGACATTTCCGGGACAAAGTTCGGGGAGACAGGATCTAGGGCACATTCTAGAGCTTTGAGATTACCTTTTGGTGTAAAAGAATCGAGCGCGACGATTAGAGAAAAGCGGACGCACGAAACGCAGTACATGAAGCGCGGTCTCCTTACCCGATTTTTCCCTCGTGAATATCTCAGGCTCCCGATTGGCTACGCATGATCAATCATTGGCGCATGAAGAATGCCGCAACCGAACGAACCTGCGATCCTTGATCCTAGATGCAAATCTCTCGGAATCTGCACACCGAGCTAGCTGGAGGATCGAAACAACACTCGACTGGAGGACTTTAAGACCGTCGGAGGATGCGATCACTGATCACGAGCGTGGAAGTACGGTGCAGCGGAAAGGCTCTCCGGCGACTCCCGCGCGACACTCCAACACGGAAGACTTGTTCGATTTATAGCGGAGCTACCCGAGAAGAGCATCTTCTCTACCATTCGTCATAGTCGAACAGGAAATCGAGCGAGCGCGACAAGCGACGGTTCACCACTTCGTCATCTTTCCGCGCTCCAATCATTCCGAATCGTCTGTCTAGGACGCTCCCGTCATTCCTGTGTTTTAGCTTGACGATTCCGACTCAGGAGAAGATTCAACTGCACGGCGGCCAAAGTCACTCGGGGAAGGCTCCTGGGCCAAAGTCAAGCGTCTCAAAATCGACCCATCGTGCTCGAGCCGAGCCTGGCTTCTTGCGATAATGTCGGAATGCTGTGACTGCGAATTGACCTCTCGTCACCTAGCAGTAGTCTTTCCGCGATTTCAGACGAGAGATTGGAAAGGAGAAGGAACTATCGATAGAGCGAGAAACGATTGATCTGGTCACTGAGCAATGGAGACTGCCCGCGACATCTATGTTCCCCGTTTTTCTCGGCTATATTGCTCCACTCGGGAATAAATCGATAGGGGAGGGACTAGGTCATTGGAGCCGTGTGTATTCGATAGACGTATTTATTCCGAACACGAGTGCTCCTGCACTAGGGTACGGCATTCGGCGGTCGAGGAATCGACTGCGAATCTTCGTGCCGTTTAGTTTTCAGCGCATTTGATTATCACAACCTCGTCAGGAAAAGAGAGCTCTCAGTTATGCACATGATGAACTCCTTGATGACCTAGAAGAAAATCCTCGCGAATTTTTGCTTCGTGTACCCGGGAAATTCACTCCGGAGTCATAACAGCAAAAGACAGCCGAAATCTCGACAGATAACTAGCCTGCGAGAAGCTCCGGGAGATGCCTCAGATGACAACCAGAACGAATGATTTATGAAGCCCACAGCTCTCTTATGATGGAAGTCCTCTGGGCGCGCACAGGTCAGGTCGAGACTCCCGTGGGCGCTGTACACCGCCTATTTCTCGCAGGAGCACCGGTCCGATTTTAACTTATCACGACATTGTGTCCGCGAAGTTTTCTCCGGATTTTCAAGAGGGACCACCTTTCGGAGGCTCTCATGTTCCCTCCACTGACGATTGAGGGATGAAGGGTTCTCGATTCTGGAATTGATTTCTTCGAAACTCGAATATGAGCAGTGCAACGGTCAAGACTCATTCTACGCATTACCGGGTTCAGGAGTGTCAGCTCGCTTTGATTCCAGCTTCATGCTTCAATTTCGCGGCCCAGTCCTCGGGGGAAGCGGTGCAGATTTATTGCTCCCACGATTCCGAGATCTCTGTTTAAGCTC